TGACAACCGCATGGTCAACCACTTTGTGGAGGAGTTCAAGAGAAAGCACAAGAAGGACATCAGCCAGAACAAGAGAGCCTTGAGGAGGCTGCGCACAGCCTGTGAGAGGGCCAAGAGGACCCTGTCCTCCAGCTCTCAGGCCAGTATTGAGATTGATTCTCTGTATGAAGGCATCGACTTCTACACCTCCATCACCAGGGCTCGCTTTGAGGAACTGTGCTCCGACCTGTTCAGGGGAACACTAGAGCCGGTGGAGAAAGCCCTGAGGGACGCCAAAATGGACAAGGCACAGATCCACGACGTCGTCCTGGTGGGAGGCTCCACCAGAATCCCCAAAATCCAGAAACTCCTGCAGGATTTCTTCAATGGCAGAGAGCTGAACAAAAGCATCAACCCAGATGAGGCGGTGGCTTACGGCGCTGCCGTCCAGGCCGCCATTCTCACAGGTGACACCTCAGGGAACGTTCAGGACCTGCTGCTGCTGGATGTGGCGCCTCTGTCCTTGGGTATTGAGACAGCTGGAGGAGTCATGACGTCCCTGATTAAACGCAACACCACCATTCCCACTAAACAAACCCAGGTCTTCACCACCTACTCTGACAACCAGCCTGGGGTCCTCATCCAGGTCTATGAAGGGGAAAGAGCCATGACAAAGGACAACAACCTGCTGGGCAAGTTTGAGCTGGCAGGAATCCCACCTGCTCCACGAGGGGTCCCACAGATCGAGGTCACCTTCGACATTGATGCCAACGGCATTTTGAACGTGTCTGCGGTGGACAAAAGCACTGGCCAAGAGAACAAGATCACCATCACCAACGACAAGGGCCGACTGAGCAAAGAGGAGATCGAGAGGATGGTGCAGGACGCTGACAAATATAAAGCTGAGGACGACATTCAGAGGGAGAAAATCGCTGCCAAGAACTCACTGGAGTCCTATGCCTTCAACGTCAAAAGCAGTGTGCAGGATGAGAAGTTGAGGGACAAAATGAGTGAGGAGGACAGGAAGAAGGTGATTGAGAAGTGTGATGAGGCCATCATGTGGCTGGAGAACAACCAGCTTGCTGAGAAAGAGGAGTACCAACACAAGCTGAAAGAGCTGGAGAACGTGTGTAACCCCATCATCAGCAAGTTGTATCAGGGAGGAATGCCCACTGGTAGCACCTGTGGACAGCAGGCACGAGCTGGAGCTGAGGGGCCTACTATTGAGGAGGTAGATTGAAGTGGCCCCTGACAGGGACTCTGTGATCACTGGGACTGTTTAACATGCAACTTATAACTTTATACCTCATCTTTGCAGTTTTGTTTCTATAATTATGATGTGTAAACTTAACACTTAAGAAATTTAGAGAAGTGATTGTGTTAATTTTTTGTATTTTGTTGATTTGCTGGACCATGTAATAAAGATCATTGTTAAATCTCTATCTTTTGGTTTAATTTAGCATGTTTTCATTAATCACAGCTGAGCTGATGATGCATTTTCAAACACTGTCATATAAACCTCTGTATAAGGTTTAGAGAAACTGTAATAAAAGAGTAATGTACGTGTTTCACAATACTGTGCATATTTTACAATAAAATTTGTTTTTAAGAAAAAATGAGATACTTATGTTCCTTTCGTTATGTATTCATTAGATAAGAAAATGCATGTACTCTATCACACTAAATGATAAATTATGAATTTTGTTAATGTGAGAATAAACCCTAAAATAAGTAGTGCAGTATATGGTATCGCTACTAGATGTCACAATTGATCTAGTTTGGTTAGACCACTGCTTTAGGAGTGTCTGACAATCTTTTTGAGGGGGTACTGTCTTTGAAATAAAAAATATATTAAAGTTTTATGTTTGATCCTGTGCTGTAATCAACTATCATTTTTTCCATTAAATAACAGCTGGTTTAAATTGCAGTATCTACCTAATGTTTAACTTGAGATTTGATCAAGATTTGATTGTGTTAATTTTCTGTACTGTTGATAAACAGTACAATCACATTATTAAGGGTGATTATATCCAGAGTGGATATTTTCCCTTAAAGCATTTTATGCGTATGTACATATAAAAATGTATTTCTTCCACTTTGCCGTCTCCTCTGTAGCTCCATTCATGTAGATGGCAGTGAAACCCTTTTTAAGCTTCAGCAGATCTTATTGCTCATGAAAAGACATTTCATTTTAGGATAAATTGTCTTCTTTTTCTGGTCATTACTATTATTCTCTTAATTCTTTGGCTGGCTGTAATTGTCATTTATTCATATTTTGTGTCTTATCCAATAAACCCTGGAAGTATTTTGGCCACAAACAATCTGAGAACTTCAAGATTCTCCACTCAGATTTTATTTCCTATGTGACACACAAGTGAAGCACCACAAGCGCTTGTATTTTTAATTTAAGTAAGTTTTTAAAAATGAACAGACTTCTCTGAGTATAAGATGTTGTGGTTGTTTTGATACAAAGGCTGCGTTTTTTGTCTCTATAGTTTTGTCAATTTCTGAGCTTCCTTCAGTCTCCTCTACTGAACAGCGAATGGACGTGTCACCTGTACGTGCTGAGCACTGGAGCTCTAATGTGGTTGACTGCCTTACACACCTGTGACCAGGTAACTAACACACTCACACACAGTGTGTAAACAGTGGATGTATAAGTTGCTTGATGCTTATGAAAAGGGTTGGTGTAAGCCATCATTACATTGCCCTTGAATGACTGAAGGACATCCTATTTGTCTATCCTGGAGGTTTCAGCTTCCGGCTTCATCACCAGGAACTATGCAGCATTCTCTGATCATTACTACGACTCCATTGGGAGGCCTCTGAATATTCTTTGCCAACCATGACCTGCAGATGGGGAGCCAGCTGTGGGAGGCGCTGCACCTCCAGAAGGTCCTCAGGTTGTACCAAAGAAGGGGAGAGAGCTGACAGAGGAGACAGAGAAACAGAACAGCAGAGTGGAAGTAGCTCTGTTTTTTCATCCATCCATTATCTATACTACTTGGTCAAGGCGGGTCTGGAGCCAATCCCAGCTGACATTGGGGTAGAGGCAGGGTACACCCTGGGTAGGTTGCCAGTCTATCACAGGGCTCTCTCTGTTTTTGTTTTATTTTATTCTTTTTTTTTTTTTCAAGAGATGCTAAAGTTTATAAACATTCCACATTTTTTTAGCTGAATATCTAGAATATTTTTATGTGATGTGGAGCTGTTAAAAGCAGCTCTTTTGATTATTTTTCAACTGAACTGAATTTTCCCTGAATGTAAGCAATCAAGTAGTTTCAATGAAGACCTTGTAATCCTCCTTAACATCAGGACATATTTATTTGCATATAAATGTTTTGCCATTTTTTTCCCCATTTTAGGATAAATATTTCAACATATTAAGTATTTCTAATGCGATAATGGACCCGTGACCCCGTTTGGGACTAAGCGGTATAGGAAACGGATGGATGGATGGATGCAATAATGGAGACATTCTATTTGCAATAACACTGAATCAAATGTGTCTCTATAAGGTGAAAAGTGTTTCTGGTAGTTGCAACTTCACAGAGACTCACCAGCTCTGCAGCTCTACTTAACCTCTTAACTTCTTTTAGCTCGTTTTGGCTTTGCATCACCGTTCTTGTCCAGTTGTCTATTAGCTCTAAGAGCTACTGTACACTACCTACTCAGCAGGCAGACACAGTTCATGACTAGCTGATGAGAGTCACTGATATGGTTAGCGATGCACCGATTGCAACTTTCTGGGCTGCTTCAGAGTTTGTTTGTTTGTTTAAAACGGTTGAGTTGGCGCCGCAGATGGCTGCCTTGGTTCTGTAGCAGAAACGAATTCCTTGTGTGTAATACTTGGCCAATAAAGGTGATTATCCCCAAAGTACTGTAAATGTAACTGAACATTTGCCAAAAAGTGAAAGCTAAGCTTGGTCCTGGTTTTATCAAGAAATTGTCCTGTCATCCATGCCATTATTTTGATCTACATTAGGGGATAGTGATGACCAGACATGAAAACTTGTACTATATTCTCAGCCTAACTTTCAGTATATTTTCAGTGTTTTTTTTCCTTAACCTATTGTCATTACTGTGTGACACTTCTCTCAGTTTTTAATGCATTATATAGCATTATACATGTCACAATTTTTTAACCTTGATGTGGTTGCTATGTCATCAAATGAACTTGCAAAAAGAAAAAGAAAAAAGATTGTTTCATTTGTAAACAATCTAACTGTCTTGCCAAGCTTTAGATGAAACTTCTTGATTTTTTTTGTTTGTTTGTCCTTTTTTGACCCTTTGCCTTTTGTCTTTAGTGTAAGTAATGTATTTCTTACAAAAACGGCACAGTAATCATGTGGATAGTGCCCAGACATGGCGAGGGCCTTCAAGAAACCCTGATTTATAAGTTTGTTTTAATTTTTCAATTTTGAATCTTTAAATTCTTGTTATTGTAAGTAAGCTATTTCATGTCAATAAATGTAATATAGATTTTTAGACTGTGTGTAAATCCACATTAGAAGATGTTAAAAAATCTTTTAACACTAATGTTAGTTTAAATACATGCCTATTATATAATATTATGCAATTTTAAGATGCATGTATTGTACAATGTTTGTTAAGTGACTGTTTGAAATTGGGTCAGTTTGCTCCTGTGTCTTCATCGATTTTGTTATTTGTTTCCAAACATAACATGTAATTCTGACATACATGTCAGAATTACATGTTAATTTATCAAATTTTAAGATTAATGAAATGAGTAGTAGGCTAATGGATTAACATTTGAATAAAGGCCTATATTAATGCATGTTTGCTGCAGGGATTGAATTTACTTTGCTGTTTGGATTTTCAGTCTCGCTTTGCGCAGTTCATACGCAAATCATGTCTTTTAAGTGCCTCAGCATTATGAAATGTGGCCAACAGACATGCAGGTTTGTAAAAATAATCATTAAATCAAGCCTTCGAGCCTTTGTACTAGATTTTTAAAGTATATAGGTCAATGTATTTATACTCTTTTATTTGCGAAGCCTAAACCTCACAGGAAATAGAACTAATCATTTTCCGGTCAACGCTTGAGGCCCGTCCCACCAGTCTGTGCCATCTTGTATTTAGCAAGAACAAAAACGGTGTAAAATACAGTTCCAGCCTTGGGATGGGTGTAGATTTTAAGAAGAATTTTAAGAGTAGATTTTAAAGATGTCTGGTGTGACGGGACAATATGCTTAGGAGTGGAACACCGCGGAGGAACAACAGCCACACCCCGCACAACAGTTAATGTTAACGTTACAAGCTATCAAAACTAAGCTAACCAGTTAGCTAAGGCTAGTAACCTAGTAAAGATAGAGAGACAACTGGCGAGCGTAAAGTTCATATTTGAGCCAGTGGAATTTGAGAACAGTTAACTGTTCTCTGTCGGTCGGAAATCAAGAGGAACGTCTGTCGAAATGGGCCAAACGTCGTGTTGAGTATTTGCTGAGAGGAAACCCGGGCTATGAGGATAGAGGCTTGCTAGCTTGGCTGCTACCAGTTGTTTTTCGTTCCAGAGCGGAACCACAATAAGTCGCGGTAAGTAATGCTACATTTAGCTAGCTACACAGCTAACTAGTTGTCATGGTAGCTAACCTAGTTATCTGTTTCAGAGGTTTTCATGTTTGGATCCCTGGACCCTCCGCGGTCTTTGGTTTGTTTTCAGAGGTCTTGAGTAAAATGAAACCTACTCTACATTTACTGTAGCTGACTGTTAATTTCGAGCTGATTTGTGATGGCTTTGCATTTATTCATTTAGGTAGCAGAATGTAAGGTCATTCCTCTACATGGGAACAGAGAGGGACTTCAGCAATAAAAAAAACGACACAGGAGGTTTTTTAGGACAGACATCACCAAACCGTGCCCTGCTGTTTGAGTGCGTTTCTTTCCGAGTCTGTTAATGGTCTCTGCGAAAATCCAGTAAGGTTATCATAAGAGCAACTAGTAACGATTATTCTCATTATCAATGAATTGGCTGATGTTGATATGTAGTGTTAGTTTTACTGACATCAGCAGCATCATCTACCATTAATAACTATCTTTATAAATGATACGATACAGCAAGTTGCATCCAGAAGGACTGAATCCTAGATTTGAATGTTTATTATAACAAACAAGACTTTAGCCTCTAAAATCATTTGAGCTGTTGAGGGACCTGATGTTTCATGCTAACCAAAAACGTTTATATCAGCTGAATAGCAACTTATTTCTGTTGAAAAAATATTTATCAAGGGTGGAGAGGAGAGAATTTGTGGTGCTGTAATGTCCAAACAAAGCTAAGTTGTTATATCTCACGTTTCAGTCTGTGGCAGACATGGATGGAATTCCTATATAAACTTAAAATCGAAGCACCCTAAGCATATTGCATGTCCTTGTTTCTCCTAAATTGGAGACTCCCTTTGATATCAAGATGGTGTCTGCCTTGGGAGCATTCAGCTTTGCCTTTATGTGCATCTATGGCCAGGAGTAGCTTACAGTTTGCACTTTTCATTTACAGTTGACATGTTGTTATCGCCATTACTGACACCGTTTGTGGATATTTCAGTGTTTACGTTGGAGAATAAACTTTTCTTTAAACTTTGGACCACACCCCATGATCTATTAATACAACTGCAAATACAGTTCTCCACGAGGCCAAACAACTGTCTCACAAAAACCTAATTTGAAAAAAAAAAAAAAAAAAAAAAAAAAAAAAAAAAATTTATATAATTTTTGAAGGTGTTGGTTACTGACACATTTTTTAAAATGCCCATCTTGTGTGAGAGTTCCACACCCATTCATAACAAGGAGCTTCTCTAATGCAGAACAGTTTCCAAGTCAGGTCTAAGTTCAGCCATGTGATCCTGGTCATTCGGCACTACTGACACACCAAATTTTAATGTTAAAAAAAGCAGTCTGGGGCTGTTTCCCCTTTCCCTTTTCTGTTTTTATTTTTTCCCCACACATACAGTAGGAGGTTGAACAAACTGGCTTCCTCAGTGTTGTGTGCTTAAACTTGTGAGAACAACCTTGTTCCTTGGAAAATGACAAAAATAGATATCACAAGATGTTTTCTCACTTTAAAAAATGGTGAATTGTGTGTTTGGTTTTTTTGCCATTTTAACATGAATGTTAAGAATGAATGTAACAACACTGGGAAATTTATATGGACTCATCATAGTTAACATCATCCTATTTCAGAGCTGAAATTATTTTCATGGTTTTCTACCTTTTACTGTCAGCATTTACAGTGTAGAGTGATAGAAAACATTAAAGGGAAATATGTGATAAATGTCCCTGGCTAGATCTGAGCCAAGAATATCCCAGTTACATAGTGTACACTGTTGGCAATTAGAACGCCCCATTTCTCTTTCTAATTGTTAGATGTAGAGAAATACATCTCTGTCCTTTTAAATGGTTGTTTTTCCCCTGAAGACAGGAGGTGCAGGCATTGGACAGAACATCATGAAGCCACAGAGTGCCACATAATATAACTAGTAATTGGTTCATAGCATTTTGAAAGAATGTTGGGTCAGGGGGTGCAAATCTGTCTCCTCATCTAACACAGATTTACTTGTGCATTAACACAGCAATGCTTTAAAAGGAACGAGGCTCACTGTGCTGCATTATACAGGGACCCTGTAGCTGTGTTTTCATGTATTCATTGCCTGGTTTTATTGTTGGCTCTCCTCAGGGTTCCAGCTGACACTTAAGAATGAGCAGCTACATGAACCCCATTATAAAACAGTGTTGTATTTGTCAGTAAGCACAGCTCATTGTGCAGGCTGAGATTACAGTCTGCTTTAGTCAGATCATTTGATTTGAAGCTGAGCCTTGTTCTTGGATTTTCATGGATTTGGTTCATCTTTGATTTGAGTTGGACTGTAGTGTCAGTTTGGCTTTCTGCTCCGCTCTGGTCTTGAGACAACACATTGTAATGCATGGAATGAAATGTGTGTATTTTTGCCCCATTGTTTGGTTGTTTATTATTGGGTTTTTAAGGATGTTTTTGTTATATTTTAAAGAGGGCTATTGATTTTATTTATTTATGTGTAGGGCTGAATGTTGAGTAGTTGAATCATTAGTTGAGAGACCCATTAGTCAACTGAGACTTTTGTAGTCGAACCTTTGTGTTATTTTTTGTTAGCCAGTGTGGATTACAATAGAAGGTAGCCCCAACCCATGTTAGTCTTCTTTTCCTCATTTGGTGTGCCAAGCAGCAGTTTGCTCAGTACTTTCCCCTGCGGTCAGGGGGAATACCAATTTCAACAGTGACACTGCCCATTGCATGGATGTATAAGGTCCAATGACAGCGTTTAGCAAATTGCTGCCTAGAATGAGGATAAAAGACAACAAAATCCACTTGGAAAAGCTATATAAAGGTGAGATTTGTACTTTAATAGAAGCGTTTTTAAACTGTGGTTTAATTTTACATGCAAAAAAATGTGTTGCATTTGTGTGTCCTGTTTATTTGCCCATCTCAGTTAAAGTGTAACATACAGCGGTTTATCTTTTACTGCCATTTACTGATTTTTCAAATGCTCAGAAATATGTTCTAGGCACTCTTTTGCATTTGAATATCAATGTTAATGAGGTCAAAATCATCAGTGAAATTCATGCCAGTTGATTTTCTGACAGTATAGGCCAGGAGTTTTCACACTTGATATTGAAGTGTCCGAACTTGATTTCTATTTGAGGTCAAAGGTCGGAAGGATTGGCAATAATCAAATTACTTTTTATTAAACTTGTTTGTAAGTTACAAGCAAAGTACACTTACCAGCCACTTTATTAGGTACACCTGTACAGTTGTATGCAACACTTCTGTGTTTATGAAGCTCAAATTTTTGTTTTTAGTGAAATTGCCATAAATGTCTAAATTCAATTATGTTTCTTATTGAGGTCATAGTTGGTGACCTCAATAGGTGTGAATAGACTTGCTGTTTGATCCAGATCTGGACTGGAGTCAGGACTTTGAGAAGTCCTGGTATAGATATTTAAAAAAAAAAAATAGTAAAATAGTTTCACTGAACAGCTGAATCTGAGTTGACTGACAGCCCTATTTATGTGTTTATTTTGCAAGGACATAGGCAGTTTTTTCCCAGTTCTTCTTTGTAGTTCACGAATCAATAAACTAATCATCCAATTAAACGATAATGAAACAGTTGATGGTTTTCAGCCCTAATTCAAACCTGACAGTTTTCATTGACAAGTATGTTTTATCATTTTAAACGTTGGGTGATTAACATTGTCGACAGTGTCAGCTTTAAAGGGAAACATGTTCTCATAGTTTGTTTTAAAACAGAACGCTGTGAGGTTGATGATAACCAAACTTTATGACTGAATTCTGCAGTGCGAAAATCATTACACAAACCTCTTAAATGTTTCTGTTGGGTCTATGAGACTGCAGTGCGTCCATTAGCATGCGAGCTATTCTCTGCGGTCTCAGCCGACCTTCATGGCTGAGACATTCAAAGCAAGGAGAGGTGATTTTCTTATGGTTTCTCTTCACGCTAAAATTGATTGATGTGACCCTTTTATTGGTCTGCCCTGAGATGTATTAGTGTAAAATTAAATTTAGATTGGTTTCCATCAGAAAATGAGTAGCCTCTGCATCAGCTTTCTCTTTTTTATTTTTCTTAATGTTTGAAAAAGGAGATACTAGTGTTCATCTTTAGTGGTCCTTTGTAATTAATGATGTAGAGCAAGTACATTACATTTTACATTTATCTAAATTATCTACTTTAGAAAGTCACTTTCAGCTTTTCTCATTTAGGGGTTGCCACAGCGAATCACCACACTGATGACTCGCATGTTGACTTTTGGCATATGTTTTACGCTGGATGCCCTTCCTGACACAAGCCTGACTTGAACCCGGGCCGCAGCGGCGAGAGCGCTGTGCCTTAACCAGTAGCCTACCAGGGACGGCATCTAAATTATCTACATTAAGTATAAATATTTTAAGTTGTGGAGTCACATGTCTGCTCCCTCTTTTGACAGATAATATGTATCTGCACAAGGAGAGAGGGACTAAATGTCACAAGTTAAGAGTCTGTTAATGAACAGGATAGTTGCTGTGTGTCATTATTTTGGAAGCTTTTGGGCTTCCACGTTATTTATACTTTTGACATCACAGGTTTCCTCCTAACCTGCACAGTTGATAATTGAAATGCGTTCATGTTGAAGTGTGCTTTGTGAAAACCAGATGCCATTTTGTCTCTTTGTTTGAAATTTGTTCTCTCTAGCCCTTTTCAGGGCTTTCACAGGTTAACATCCAGGCTTTCCCTGTAACTGTCTTCATCTCACAACTTGTCAGCTGGTTATTGTCCCAGATAGATCACCTGTGAGTGATAAGACGGTTTAGGGCTCATGATCATACTAAACTGTTATGGCCAAAAGCATCCAATCATTCCTGAAATATTTATGAGACATGCACCATATATTTGATGTACCATGGAAGCTGAAGAAGTCTCTGTTTTAACAGACATCTTACAGGTCACATTACTTTAGTAGTTTTAGGAGTACCACACTGTGTTTTCCAGCCTGATAAACACATTAATTAGACAGTTTTCTGCCCAACTGAAGTGGAAAACAGATGCTTCACATCCCTCAAATGCAGTATGGGCACAGCATCCATGATCCAATAATAAACCAAAGGGTAGCCCCCTCCACAAAAATTTAAAATAAAGAATGGGACCATGCTTTGTCTCTCAAAGTGATAGCTAGGTGTTTGTAACTTAGCTTGAGAGAAATTACTTTTAATCAATTATAAAAAATAGAGTAATTTTGTTTTAACTAGTGAAGGAGCTTACAGACTGGGCTTGAAACATAACCGAAAAGAGTATAATAGAAGAAAATAGAATACTTGATTACTAAAACCATATCAAAAGAAGTTGCGGATGACGGGCCATTGTTTTGACCTTTAACCTGTATTTCCACTGTTCACTGCACTAGCCTGCACCCTCCCCTGTCTTCCAGGCCTGGCCATGCCCTCGAATGCACGGGCAGGCAATCTGAAAGACCCAGAGGTGGCAGATCTGTTCTGCAAAGATGATCCGGAGAAGCTCTTCACTGACCTTCGTGAGATTGGCCATGGCAGCTTTGGAGCTGTGTACTTTGTGAGTATGATGGAAAGCATATTTACTTTTTGGTTGGCGTGTTTGTGTAGTCCAGTGTCTTTACTTTCAGCACAACCTCTCCACTTCAGGACAATCTGTGAACTGGATACGTCGTCATAATCAGACTAAATTACAATTTCTTTTCACTTTTTTTGTTCAGTGTAACATTGTCTTCATTTAGTTTAGTGTGTAGAGCAGGAAGTCTCTTGATTTGTTGCCCTCATTAACAAGTAGTGACTGCTGTGACCATTCCAGCAATGTCATGTTCAGTTGACAGGAAGCTCTGGTAGAAGTCATGACGGACTGTTATTTTAATGTATTATGGAAGAAATTGTAGAGTTTAAGGGATAGTTTATGGTCTGTCTGAAGTAGTTTCTAAGACATGCTGTTCAACCACATCAGAAATCAAAAGTCTTTATACCTGATTCAAACATCCACGCTGGAGGATGGGGTGAGAAGCCGGGCGTGATGCAGGGTTTTTCCACCATAGGAATCTATTGAAATTAATGAACCATATAATGTTTGTCCTGGGTTCTGTTTTTGTTTCCACTGCCCTCCGCCCGCTTTGGAGGTTTGTTCTGAGAGCTAAATTTCAGCACCCCTCAGGAGGTAGCACTAAAATCAGGTTCCAGGAACGTAAAGGGGGAGGGTGCTCTTAGAGCAGTCACCCCTTATTGGTTAAATGTCGGCATCTTCACACCTCAATTATTGGCATTACAAGCACTCACTGGTTTAGAGGTAGATTACAAAGACTTCACTTGTTCACGAGCATTTCAAGCTAAAATGCTCCATATTTCTAGTGTTATCATCTTCATCGTCATCATCTTCATCATCACCACCACCACCTTTATTTGGCCAAGTATGTTACACACAAGGAATTTGTTTACACTACAGAACCAAGGCAGCCATCTGTGGCGCCAGCTCACACTGATGGCTTTAACCATCGGGGGCAATTTGGGGGTTCAGTGTCTTGCCCAAGGACACTTCGACATGCATACGTATGTCTAACATTGTTTGTAGCGGATGTGTCTGCAGTAACACAAGCAAATTATACTGAGGAATGTTTTTTTCCCCCAGTAATATTAATACAGTACTAATGTTCCAGCCACTATCGCATCATGGTCAGTATTACTTGACACACATAACCGTGAGGTGTTGGTGAAGCAGGAAAAATTTCATGTTCAGCTTTGGTAGTTGAACAAACTCCCCACTTTTCTACTTGTGATGATGGCATAAATTATAACAACTTCTCAATAAATTGCTACATGGACTGTAGTGTTATGTCCGACATAAACTGCACCAAAACGGAGCAGAAGTTAGCAAAATTACCAAATTTGCTAATCAAAGAAAATGCGTTGGTTTCCTCTAATTGTACTAGAAAATACTAACATTGCAGTCAGAATGACTCCAAATTACAACCAGAAAAATTCAATACAAAGGTACAAAATTGATAAGCTAACATTAGCTTGCTAATGATGCTGACATATACGTGTTAGCCAGCTACAGTACTTGCGTGTCTAGCAGGAATAAAGGGACATTTGTGTCAAATTTTAGTCTTTTGGATACTTTTAATGCTCTCCATCTCCAACATGCCAAACTGATGTTAACCCTGGTTTTGCCTTGTTCTTTGTCACACTCTTTTCTGTGCTACAGCTAACAGGTCCTGGGTTGTACCTGAGGCTGGGGAGTTTAGTATAGCAGGGAGCAAACAGACCATTTTTTTGTTACTTGATTTGTCCAAATATGTGCAAAATTTTACTTAAGGCAGCTTTAACATGAAAAGTTACAGAATAGTTGTGTAACAAATGAGAAAAGAGGATTCAAACTCTTGAGTCCTTTATCACCTCTGCACAAGGGGCCAATCACGGTATGAAAGCTATCCCGTCATCTGACAAGCAGTTAAGATGGGGAATAAAGTTGGCTTGAAGCTGTTTGACCATCCAACAAGAAGTGAATGACTATATTGGTGGTTATAGCTAATTTGTGTGTTAAGGGGCATTATTTAGTTTTGTTTTGCCCTAACAAACAACTGGTGTATCCATCTTATAGATGTCATGTTTAATTGACAGAAATTGGTATAATTTTTTTTGAGAAACAATAATGTTAATGTATTTTATGAAAGAAGAAATTCTAAAAATTGCTATGGCGATGCCATTTTTCTGTGCTGTGTTTCACAAATGAAAAGATGAGGCTAACCTTCTTAATCCTGCCTGCAAATGTCTGAATGAGCCTGCGAGAATGTTTCTCCACTTGGCAGAAACGGTCCTCAGTGACCTGTATAAATATCACTGAACTGATTAGAGGTGAACACTCAAGAACCAGAGTAAACCATATTCAACTATATAAATTGATAAAAGCTCAATTGTTAACTGGTTGGTAGGTGGTTTCCTGTTTTGTGTCCAAGTTTGAAGTAACAGGATCCACTGTGCTGTTAGTCCTGCTTGGTGATGAGATTATGGTGAAGAACATCTAAGTGTTCAGATCTTTATTGTCTGGTGTTTCAAGTATTTGCCTTGGAAATACACAGTGAGCCCAGGAGGCCTGAGCAGTAGTTCCACAGCAGTCTGTGTGGGCTTTGTCATTAATGAAGAAGCTGAATATAAAATGTCCCCACCTAATTAGAAAAACACTGAGAACACAGCATGTCTATGTACTAAGCTGTGCAGCTCATTTTACCTGCAGAATATTCTTCCAACTGTGTGGTAGACTAACACCTCCACAGTGTTCTCGCTGCCACACTGAATGTCTGAGTTTCAGAGGATCCTTAAAAGGCTATTAGAGATGTGCTACAAAAATAGATGATGTGTGATGTGCATCAGTTTGCAGCAGTTTAACAAGAGGGCCACTGCTTTATACTGTGACTGAGCGTAAACTCTGTGTGCATCCGTAAATGGCCGCTGACATCAGTCAGGGGTTAAGAAAGCCTTTATGATGTTTTTAAAGACTTGTACAATTCTATTGGCTGGCTTCATTTGATTGTTACATATTTTAATTCCTTCTTAAAGGAAACAATCTCGGTGTCTTCACAGTGCAACATGACTTGGTCTGGCATCTGATAGTTTTGAGAAAATATGAGTATTTTATTGAAAAATAAATGATGTAATTCGGTTGACGAATCTAAATGTATCTTTTTCTGCTCACTGTGTGTGCCAGGCGGGTCTTCTGGCACCACCAAGTGGTTTTGTATTGATATTCCACTCTGTACTCCTGAAAAAAGGGAAAAGCCTAGTTTATCCACAGCAGCAATAACTCAAAATTAACAAATGAGAGATTGTCTTTATCAGTGAGTTAAACACATGGATTTATAGAACTGGAGTTACATCCAGGTAAACTACATTATGTCTTTGTTACTGAATAAGAGACAAAGCAGGAGGTCTGCAGTACAATCGCTCTGTAAGATGCCTGTTAAAGAAAAGCAGGAGAGTACTGTGTCTTTAACTTCCTTAATGTTGTCTTCACTATTTGTCTTCACTATTTATCTTCAGTGGCTTCAGAAACCTGCAGAGGAGGGGAAAAAAGCAGGCAATCTGTTCTTCGAGTAGTCTTGGAGTGCAGTTAGTTTTAAGGATGTGAACGTAACCTTGGAGTCTACCAGTGTAGCTGCCCAAGCTATGGCATAATGCCTTAATACAGAAGTGTAAATCAGACTTAATTCGTATGACTCAGTTGTCCTAGACAAGTCTAAAAATGTCATTGTGACAGAACTGAGATAAAATCCCATAATAAAAGTAACTGGTTCCTGTGTGATGGTGCCATTCTGCTGTACTTTGTTCCACAACAAATGAATACTGGACATAGATGATCTTGTAAGCCAATTAATTCTCCACTAAGCAGATTTCTTAAATCTGCACACTGTATCTCCTGGATAATTCTGATTTCTTGAACTGTGTGCACATTTCTTATCAGCGCTTTTAAGACTGCAGTTATCAGAGAGACAGAAGAGCAGCTGGCTGAAATGAGACATCATTACCTGCAGAGATATGTCCTCTCATTCAACATAATTCCATCTAAAGTCTGGTTAAGACCTGCACTAAATAAATTCTCTCAGCTTATCTGTCACCCTCTAATATAAGAATACAATTCAAAAAATGGAGTGAAACTGCATGTTGCACAACTGTAACGGCTGAAATAAATAATACTTCCAAAATAAGGTAGGGGAGAAACCAAGTAAAATTAAAAGCGCTTGCTCCTCCCTCTTTATCACCACAGAGGTGTGCAAATGTACTCATAATTGTGTTTCTCTTGTCTGATAGGCCCGAGATGTGCGCAACAATGAGGTGGTGGCCATCAAGAAAATGTCCTACAGTGGCAAGCAGACAAATGAGGTAATCAACACAAAAGAATAACTTATTTCATTTTAAAGTCCATTCTTCCCCCTATGTTTATTCTCAAGCAGTGAACTAGTCATTATCACCAATAGATTCTTTACATTAATGTAAACAAGGCATTTTCTAAATATTAAAATATGTTGGCCTTTGTAGTGTTAAATGCCTGGTTATTTACTAATATCAACCAAGAGTTGTGAACAAACATGGGTTTATTCATGACATAACACATTACTGATAACAATGTGTAACTAAGTGTTAAATGGTTTCTGTCTCAGATAGATCACCTGTGAGACATTGTTTCTCTAATAACTGAAATGTGCTGAAACATAAAGGGTATGGACTGACAGTGTTTTGTGTTCATGTGCAGAAATGGCAGGACATCATTAAAGAAGTGAAGTTCCTGCAGAAACTTCGCCACCCTAACACTATTGAATATCAGGGGTGTTACCTGAAAGAGCACACAGCATGGGTACGTATTGTTTGTCACTGCAACTATAGTGGCTCCTAAGCTTTGGAAAGTACATCCCCCACAAGCATATTATAATAAGGTGAAAAATGAATAACCTGATGGCTGTAATACTGCAACAAACTGGTGTCAAACAAAAAAAAAAAAAGAGCTTCTACATGTGTACCAGGTGGCCCTGTTTAGGTGCGAGTTGTAACAGATGTCAGAAAACATTGAAAAATGTCACAAGTTTCCAGAGTCTTTCAGTAACTGTTCTCAACTAACAGTCAAATCTCAAAGAAACAAAATATTTACCTAACTTTAAGACAGTTTTTAATCAACAAATTGTTTCTCTTCCTGTTTTTGATGTGCACATGAGAGCACATAAACTCTGCATAGCATTATCCAAATGTGTATTATTTGTTGCTGTGGCAGAAATATGTGGGTCTGCTGATGATCACACTGTGTTTGTCCCATAGCTGGTGATGGAGTACTGTCTCGGCTCAGCTTCAGACCTCCTCGAAGGTCAGTTTAACACCACACGCTGTCGCTTTGTCATTTCAAGTTAAGGCATGATTCTCTTGTTCATGACTCCATGTGCTTTTTTTCCCCCCTTCTTGCAGTTCACAAAAAGCCACTCCAGGAAGTTGAAATAGCTGCTATTACCCATGGTGCACTGCAGGGATTAGCATATCTTCACTCTCACAATATGATTCACAGGTAGAAATCATTTCACTGTGTTTGCTCCTCACACCATAACCTTTCTAGCAACAGTACTGGAAAGTGGAATTTTTTTTTCCCTCTCACATTCTGGTAAAATCTTTGAGAGTCAAGTACCATGTTCCATCAGAACATATATGAATCATGCCCACACTGTGTTAATATTTATATCATGAGTTAGATTACAACTACAGTTTACTTTTAAACACTCATTGTTCAGGATTTGTTGAACCTGCATTTGAAAGGTGTATATACAACCGTACATCCATTTTGGAGGATGAACTATTGCGGTGGTGTTCAACTGTAGCATATTGGTTTTATTGTCCACTCCACTCAAATGATGGTGTAACTGATTTCCATACTCTTACGGGGGATCTGTGTGCTGGCATAATGGCCAACCAGCATCTCAGTTTGTTGTATAGTTGTAATTCCCAAGTGTATTTTAACTTTAGTACAGATGACTACAAAGAAATTGAACCGCCAGCCTTTACAAAACTCAGATTTAACCGTCTCTCACATTCAGTAGCCCTTCACCTAGGTCTGCATCCTGATCAATCTGACATATAGGTATATTAATGCTTAGTAATGCTACAAGTACCATGTATTTTGTGTGTATGTAGAGGAGTTCTGTTAGGGCCAGTGTCTGTTAATAGTTTTGTTTTCCAGGGATGTGAAAGCGGGCAACATCCTGCTGACGGAACCTGGTCAGGTCAAACTGGGGGACTTTGGTTCTGCTTCAATTGTGGCTCCCGCCAACTCCTTTGTGGGGACACCCTACTGGTGAGTGTTCGGCTACAACGCTTCTAAAACATTCTTGAAACAGTGGAAACTGCAAGGTAACATTTTCCCCAACTGGCAGAATTATCTGTTGATGGGGTCCCTGATGGACCAGCGGCTAGGATTCAGCGCTCTCGCTACTGCGGCTCGGGTTTTATTCAGGGTTGCGTCAGGAAGGGCATCCAGTGTAAAAACACGTGCCAGACTTCAACATGCAAATCGTTAGTGAAGGTTTGTTGTGGCGATCCATAACGGGAACAGCTGAAAGTGACATTCATTTGGCAGAATTATCTGTTGATTTAAAAAAAAAAAAAGGTTAAAGGCTAGAGTTTGACATGTAAGTAAATAAAATTTATTTCTATAGCACTTTTCTAAACCACAGTTACAAAGTGCTTTACAAAAGAAAGAACAACATGAAATTAAATAAAATCAAACATCAATGAATAAAGATAAATATTGCATACAAAAAAAACACAGAAAAACCCTGGTCAATACTGGTAATGAACTCCTGCTTAAATGGATAGCTTTTAGGAGCGAACAGAAGGCAGTGAGATCAGGGGCACAATGAAGCTCAGTGGAAGACTATTCCACCAATTAGGGGCAGCTATGGCAAAAGCCCGGTCGCCATAGTTTTTCAGCCTAGATCTTGACACCTTTAAGAGCAGCTGATTTGAAGACCGGAGGGATCGACCAGGGTTGTGACTTGCTGAATGCATTATTTGTGGGTTTAGACATTGGAAGTTAGCTTTTGAACCAAAGTTGTCAAAAGAAGGCACATACAGTGCCAGAGCACTCTGAGATGTTTCCCTCTCTGTTCGTTCTCTAGGATGGCTCCAGAGGTGATCTTGGCCATGGACGAGGGCCAGTATGACGGCAAGGTGGACGTCTGGTCGCTGGGTATCACCTGCATAGAGCTGGGTATGAACTGCAGGCTGTCTCTTGATTCTTAGATGAGCATATTGGTGTGAATAAATAAAGGACATGACTGTATTTTGATTCTGTGCTCTTTCCACAGCTGAAAGGAAGCCCCCACTGTTCAATATGAATGCTATGAGTGCCTTATACCATATTGCTCAGAATGAAAGCCCTGTCCTCCAGTCCAATCACTGGTGAGAATCTATCTTTGTCTCTTGTGGCCAATGTGTTCTTAGTCTCATTTCTACAGAAACCAAGAGCTTCTTTTATAGGCTTCATATCTCAAGATTTATACATCATCATCATCATCATCATCATCATCATCATCATCATCATCTTAAGAAATTGTTGTCTCAGAATCCCAAGCTTATCTGATATCTTTATATAATAAATTATGTTTTTGCCATTTGTCTAATTTTCTTATCTGTATGTGTTGATTAATCAAATCATCTCACAGGCTCAAAGGAATGTGTCCAAGAATAAACTTGTCAGACCTTTAAGTAACCAGTGGTGTAAAGTAATTAAGTGCATTTACCCAAGTACTCTATCTGATGTTTACCTACTTTTGCATATATTTTCAATGCAGGACTTTTATTTTCTTTGAGAAAAATATTTTAAATTCACTTGAGTGCCTGAATCGGACTTTTTGTGTCATGGATGAGGGCAGATCTTTGGCTTAGTTTGAAACACTTTTACTTGTTCTTGAGTATTTTAGTGTGGCACTGCTATTTTTACTTAAGAGATCTGAGTAATACTTCCACCAATGTTCTCAATGGAGAGAAATTTTAAAATGTATTTTCTATTTTGGGAGAATGATCCAAACAAACTAAATATGAATGCGTGTGTTCCTTTAGAGGACCTGAAGGACTTTGATTATTGGCGAAGACAGGTGCTTTTTGTTTCTCATTTTTTGAGCTTCTGTGATTTTCTTTAACATAATCGCACATTTCTGTTCAGGTCTGATTCCTTCCGCAACTTTGTTGACTCATGCCTACAGAAGATTCCCCAGGACCGGCCTACCTCCGACGTGCTGCTGAATGTGAGGAGAAACACGGCGAGAACCCAGTATCATCACTTGAAAACGCATACATAAACCTCCTCTGTGGTGTAGTTGTGCTCATCTGTTGTTTCCATCCTTCCCCTATAGCATCGGTTCTTGTGTCGTGAGCGTCCGTTGACAGTGATCATGGACCTGATCGCACGGACCAAGGACGCAGTGCGGGAGCTGGATAACCTGCAATACCGCAAGATGAAGAAGATTCTCTTCCAGGAGACCCAGCAGAATGGCCCTGTGACTGAGGGAGGAGAGGATGAGGAGGTGCGGAGATGAGAAGATGAAGTCTGTTTGGGGAAAGGGAGAGTGAATGAATGGAGGAAGGAAGAGAAATGAATGACTAGAAGCAAGGAAGGAAAAATGTAGAGAGCAAAGAGAAGTAACAGATCCTGAAACCAAAGAGAATACATAAAAGAGTAGAAAATGAAGATACATGGTAGATACAAATCAAGGTGGGGATTAAATTACAAAAGAGTAATCCACAAAACATTTCTGGGACTTTTTGTTTTTTGATGTAGACATTTGCATTAAATTCTTCCGCATTTAATAGTTATTTATTTAATACATATTTTCTAATAAGGTCACATGCAGTTTAAAGCAAGTGTGTTATTAAAATGCAGTGTTTCCATTGTATTCTATATCTGAACAGCTAGCTGGTTTGCCCACATGTAAAAATGTTGAGCAGCAATTTAAACAGGTTTAGCCTCTAAGCATGTTCATTCTTTTAAGTGTGGCTTCCTTTGCGCTTATCTTTTTCCATTGCTATCTAATGCAGCAGATGTCTGTTCTGGTCAGTGGTGTACAAATGTCATAATCGTGTGTGTGTGTGTGTGTCTGTCTGTCTGTCTGTCAGGAGGTGGAGCAGTACCTCTTAAGGACAGGCACAGTCAACAGCATGGAGAGCTCCCAGTCAGTTCCCAGTATGTCCATCTCAGCCAGTTCCCAAAGCAGCTCAGTCAACAGCCTGGCTGATGCCTCTGACGACAGCGGCAGCGAGATGGCCATGATGCAGGAGGGCGAGCACACCGTGACTTCCAACAGCTCCATCATCCACCGGCCCACGGTAAACACCAGCTTCAGTCCAGACTCACAGCTTCACTGTGCTCCAAACATACTGCACCTGAGCTGTGACATTAAACTCTCCTTTGTCTCATGCTTGATATTTGTAGAAAAAGATTAAGTTTGGCTAATCTCTGATCACACTGAATTTCCAGTAGGTGTAAATTCTTGTTGTTTGCAACAACAAGAATTATTTTTGGAGGATTTCATCTGAAATGGTGTAAATTATTTGGTCTGTGCAGATTCTCAGTCATCCAGGTCATAGTAAACTGACAAAAACTTAGAAAAATCAACTGGACTAGTTCTTGATGAAAGCCTCTTGGATGAGAGGTGAAACGTATTTGACCTAAAGACCTAAAAGTTTTTTTTCAGATAAATTATTTGGTCTGTGTGATGGTAACATGAAGAGAAAAATCTGATAAACCTAAAGTCATATCCTTTCAAGTTGTTTTTTTTTTTTTTTTTTAAAGTCTCTAACACCTCTCCTAAACATTTTGTTACCGTAGGGTCAGGATAACATCTATGATGACCCCTACCAGCCAGAGATGGATCAACCTCAGGCTCCCTCAGCAGGCCGTCGTCGAACCTACTATCGCAACCGCGACCACTTCGCCACCATCCGAACCGCCTCCTTGGTAAGATCCATTGGAAAGGAAGAAAGCTGATAAAAGCTGAAAGCTGGTATTGTACATGAGCTGACCTGGAGTTTGGATTATGTATGCAAAACATCACAAATAGCAAGACTTTTTTTTTTTTCTTCAGTTAAAATGCACGCCTGCTCTCAAACATTTTCTTCTCCCTGTGCTCCAGGTGACCCGTCAGATCCAGGAACATGAGCAGGGCTCGGCGTTGCGAGAGCAGATGTCAGGATACAAACGTATGAGGCGGCAGCACCAAAAGCAGCTGATGGGGCTGGAGAACAAGCTGAAGGCGGAGATGGATGAGCACCAGCTGAAACTGGACAAAGAACTGGAGAATCAGAGGAACAACTTCTCCACTGAGGCTGACAAGCTGTCCAAGAAGCACCAGGCCATCCTGGAGAAAGAGGTGAGACTGACAGATGTAGAGCTCATTGTATTCACCTCCTGTTTGCCTGAAATAATCACAGCATAAGTATTTACAGTATTCATACTAATGTAATGTGTCTTATATGTGGCTTGCAGTTTCTTTGCCCTTCTATTACCTGTCACTTTACTGAGCCACTGAGGTTTTTACCTTTAAATTGTATATATTCTAATGACCATGGTAGACGTGTGAGATCATCTCATGCACACAATCAGTAAAAATTCAATCTATTCAAGTATTAAATTATAGACTTTTTGTCAACATGGCAGAAGCTTAAACTAAAAACTTGAATGAGTTCAGTTTATAGTCATACAACAAATGAAACATTTAGCAAATCGTCATATTTAGTGCTGCAGCTGACCATTGTTTTTGTGGTTTGTTTTACAGTTCATCATTTTACTCATAAAATGTCAGAACAAGAAAAATAAAAATCCCAGACTCCAGGGGATGTAGTCAGATTGCTCCTTTTATTTTTTAGCAGTCAAAAGAAAATTGTCTAAAATGGCAACAAATCTTCAAGCTTGACATTTTCACTTCACCAATTATCAGTTGCCTGTTTTTGTTTTAGTAGAATGTTTTGAATTGACTGGTTTAGTTCTGTTCGGTTTTCTGTCTCTTGACTAGTCAAATCATTTGAACACTAATGGTTATTGATTCTACAACAGTATCAGCACACATGGTTTATAAACACAACCCCTAACCTCAGCACCATTCTATGTCATCTGGCAGACGAAAGCAGCTCTGGCAGAGGAGAAGAAGTTCCAACAGCACATACTGGGCCAGCAGAAGAAAGAACTGACCAGTTTACTGGAGTCACAGAAGCGTCAGTATCGCCAGCGCAAAGAGCAGCTCAAAGAGGTATGAGCTGACACCTAACACCTGTCTATATATCTAAATACCACTGTTGATGTTGGATGATGCTGTGTGAAGCAGAGTACACCCAATGTGTGTTGCACTTTTTTTTTTGATGATGCTGTGTGAAGCAGAGTACACCTAATGTGTGTTGCACATTTTTTTTAAAAAACTGTTGAATGCAGCAATTACATAAACAGGGTTACTGTTACACCCTGTAAGTCACAGGTCAATAATCAGTCACTGTTAATGACTTAAGTGGTGAGGTCAGAACTGGGATGGGTCAGTTCATAGATGAGGATGGTTTCAGAAGTCACCTTTTAAGTAGGGCTGCTGCGATTACTTGATGTAATTGATTGCGTCAACTATGAAAATGCGTCTGATTTTTAGCTGACATTTTTATTTTTATGAACTTTATAACTTCTAAAATGCTTTGATAACTGATTAAAACAAATGTTTTACTTCAGTATCACTATGAAGCTGATTGCCAAGAGCCAGTAAAATCCACAGAAGAAGGAGAGTATCACTATGTAATTGTTGCATGCTTGCATCAGTCATTTTTGCCTCCAGTCACTGGTTGGCTGAAGTACACCCTACAGTTTTAGAAATCATGGCAGCTGTAGCTAGCCTGCAGAGTCTGACTCATTTGCAAAACAGGCTCTGTGTAAAGGTTTCCAAAGGCCCATTGCTGTGCAAGCATGGGAGTAATGTTACTTCAAATGATCAGAAAACAAAGAGGTGGCATGTGCACTGTGCAAAGTTTCATTGGTGTACCACAGCAGCACTAACGGCCACAGTACCACTAACGCTGTGCATGAGCACCTTTGGTCAGGTTCAGGGTTCCTGACTGCGAGCGATCAGTTGCATTTTACGACCAAATTCATTTAAGGTTTGACTGATTTTTGTTTTTTTTTGTTTGGTTTTTTTCTCCCCCTCTCAAAACACTGGGCGCGACTGCAAAATAAACAGGTTATGCAGGAACGACGGCTCTCACTTTAGAAATAGAAATGGTTGACAGACTTAAAACGATCTCTGCAATACTGTCATCACAGCATTTATCTGCAGGTCTGCCACCTGCCTGTCTCATGAAGCAGAGACTTCCACTCTATCAAATGTGTTGATGCACACCAGCTCTGAGACACGTGTGCCATCCCTGGATCCCTTTTTATGCTTCAAGCCTACTTTTTCTCTGTTAGTGCATTTGAAGTGTAATCACCAAGCTGCTTAAATTAGGCAGATCACCTGTTAGCCTGTTTGAGTTGAAAACCTTTCACTTGAATCTCTTCTCATGGATCCAGCTCCTGGTGTCACTGTGAGCTCTCTGGTTTTACTTTCCCGCTGTCCTTTGTAGCAAGACTGTGAAGTTAATAACATTAATAAATAAAAACACTGATTTCTTGCTGATGAGCCTATATGATCCTTCTTTAAGTAGTAGGCTACTAGTAACTTCAGCCCAGAAATGAGCTGGTGCTTAGCCAGGCGGGTAAGAGAACTGAACTGTGCATGAAGTCCCACACAGACATCACCAAAGAGCAGAAATCCTTCTTCAGAAGAAAAACGTGCTACAAATCAATCACGTACACAAAGGGCAAAGCATACATGCAATTTATCAGTGTCATTTAAAATATAATAGCCCATCCATCATCATAGCACTATCATCATGTTGACTGCTAGGCTGTACCGCACTAAAGTGACTACATAAAAAGAAACTTGTTCCAGAAGTGAATTCCCCATTTGTGTTCCATAAATCTCCCTCTCTCTGAACATAATTATAAATATAGACTATGCACATTGGATGGTAAGGTTATTTAATATAATTTGCAAAAAATACAGATGCTTTTGCATTATGTTTTAAAATAGAGGTGGCGCCACCAAATCTGGCACTGGTGCCACCATCTGAGAGACTTTGTGGCACCAGTGCCACCAGTGTGAAATGTTAGTCTGGAGCCTGGAGTTGATGTGGGTGGGTATAGGCTTGTTCTGTGCAGATGGATAAAAGCCATTCTTACAGTATTAACTGAGGATAAACAGTACTTATGCAAAGCATGACAGCACTAGCCTCAGCATTTGTCAAACATATCCACAGTGGTTTTGGATGTTTGTTTGGATTTTTTTACTTTTTCCTCATCTTTTTTTTTTCTTTTTTAAATTTACCATATTCTAAGCAGGAGCTGAGTGAGAATCAGTCGACTCCGAAGCGTGAGAAGCAGGAGTGGTTGATCCGTCAGAAGGAGTGTCTGCAGCAGATGCAGGCAGAGGAGGAGGCCAACCTGCTCAGGAGGCAGAGGCAGTACTATGAGCTGCAGTGTCGCCAGTACAAGAGGAAGATGCTATTGGCTCGCCACAACCTGGAGCAGGACCTACTCAGAGAGGTACAACCAACTGGTTTTTAGTTCACATTCCCCCTGAAGCTCCTAAAGCACAAAAAAGGTTAACAATGCACTTAAACCCACACATCTAATTTGCAGAGTGGTGTACTTTCCTTTTGTTAAGGCGTCTAAACATCCAAAATGTGGTCTACACAAACGGACCCCAACAGTGAGAGAACACAAAAAATGATGATGAATTAATGTATAGATGTTGAAACTAAAACGATGTTTATATGCTAACCAAGTCCTGTTTCCATCTCCTGCACAAACAGTAAAACATTCTGTAGCCAACTGGGTCATCACAGTGTAAGACCGGATAAGTTGACTTTACTTAAAAAATTTGAGGAAACCGGCTGCCTTAAAAAAGTAAGTAAAATGAAATGAAAGATTGAGTGCATTTAACTTAAATGCTTGAGTAGAACAAACTAAATTGCCAAGTTGATTTAACTTAACATATTTCACAATATCAACTGATCTGCATAATTATTACACTTAATATTTTAAGTTCACTGCACTAAATTGCCAAGTTGATTTAACTTAACATATTTTACAATATCAACTGATCTACATAATTATTACACTTAATAAGTTAAGTTCATGACAATAAATTCCAAACTGATTTGATTCAAAATTTGCAATATTAATTTCCTTGCCCATTTAGCCAAGTTAATATCTTCAAAATGTGTACAATTATTTCTGTCTTCAACATGTTACACATGAAAATTTTGATAAACAGGAAATGAAAATGAGAGTGAAATTCTTTTTCTGTTTTATTTGACTTATGAAGTTTCAGCTTAAAAATACAACATTTAAGTCAAGATACATAATTCCTTGCCTTAAAACTTTTAAGTTTTAATATTACAGTATTAAAGCTATTACAGTACAGATATGACAGTAATACCCCTCAATTCCTAACATGTATTGAACAAATGAACTGTGAATCAGAATGGGATCAAACCACAATATCCGGGCCAAAAGTGCAACATTGAAAAGTAAGCACCTGATATCCAGAACGTTAGCATGACAACCCAAAACCCACTTCATACTGCAAGCTAGTTTTTCAGAGTCTGAATTTTTGGTGCCAGCTGACTTTTACCCAGGTTGAGCATCACCTGTTGGACAAAGTAGAAAGTGTTTTTCATGTACTTGGGATAATCCAGGTGCAGGGCATAGATCAGTCCAAAAAGGACACAGAAGGCCTGAGGAAGGTTGGCGAGCTCATCCATCACCACACTCCCTTCCAAGACCATTCCCACTCTGAATGAGTTCAACTGAGGGTTTCCTTCATCAATGCAGAGGATTCCCACAGGAGTTTGACTGTACGAGTCCTTGTTAGTTGCATCCTTACACAGAAGGAAACAGATCAACAAGACACTATCAGTTAGATAGCACTGCGTGGTCCACAAAAATTGACTTCAAATATTAAGAATGAAAAGCCCCATAGAAAATGGAACTGTGCACTGAAGGGGGAAGTGAGGCACACTGCTAATGCAGGATAGGACGCCTAACTCTAAGGGCCTGATTTACTAAGATCTGCAAAAAAAGACTACTAAATTGCGTGTTCATTGCATTTGGGTGGAGCATGTTTTGCAGGAGAAAACAGTGACTGTGAGTCTGAACTAACAGAATAAGAGGTGTTAGTTGAAGAGGCAAATAAACATTTTACTGAGCTACAGAAATTTGAATATTATAAAGAAAACAAAATATTACATTACATAATTTTTGCCTCTCTAACTCCAAAAATGTAAACATGAGCATTCTCAATGTATTCTTTTCTTGTGTCTGTTCGCCACCACAGCAACAGCAGACATCTGTGCGTAACGCAGAGCGCTTCGTTGCACCTTGCTTTCAAAGGTATTAAATTCATATGTGCCAAAAGCTTTATAAAATCACACTGCGTGTTCTAAATTAATGTATTTGCATTGTCACCACCTTATTTTTTAAACATTTTAAAGTCAAGTCTTGCAGCTGTAACATTTACAGCACAATCATTTACTTACGGAGCAACTCTTGAAGAAGGCAGAAGCATCATCTCCCATGATGACTGGCAGTCCCCAAGACAAAGGCACCTGATGTCTGTAGGCTTGTTGGTCTGGAAGATAGTGGGCATAGAATAGAGCACACGATTTTCTAAAGAAACTTGTGTATTCATTAAACAAATGTTTTTACTTGCCCATGATTTCTTAAGACAAACCTGTAAATTTACAATAGTGGAAAGTACAAAAGAGGACACAAAAGGAAAGAGGAGAGGAATGGTAAGAAAATCAGACCAGAGAATGGGGAGAAAAAGATGAGATGAAAGAAGAGAGAGCGAAGTGGTCAGAAGAAGAGAGATGAAACGAGCAAAGCAGAAAGGAAATGACAGAGGAGAAAGGGGAGATGGGAGGTAAGAGGTGGAGATATGAGATTAGAAAATGCAAAGGAGAAGAAACTGAGAAAACAGAAAGACAAAGGTAATGGACAGAAACTCGGATCACAGGAAGATTGGGGGCAGACTCATGCAGACAATTTAACTCACCTTTGTATGACGTAAAAGCTCAGCCAAAAGCTGACCAGTAAGACCTTTCTTCTTCCTAAAGAGGTCCATCAGGCTCGGAGAGAGATGGTCCAGTGCATCAAAGAAGTTGTCTCTTGAGATTTTTCCCCACCACTCGTCTGAACTCATCATGAACCTGAAACATAAACAGAGCAAACACACAGAGCATGTCAAAGCCCATGCTAAAATAGACTTTTGTGTCATCCTCAACACTATATGATTTGGGTGACGCGTTAAAAATCCCAGATCCTGTAAATTTTCAAAACACTCGTACAAACCTGACTTTCTGTGAAAAGAGCTGGCCATCGATGTACAATCTGGCTGACAGCAGGCTTGTCTTTGACAACTTCCTTTCTGTGAAGAGCAAATGTCACATCCATATTTTTCATCTCTTTCTGGTCATCCATCCCCTCTGGAAAATCAGGCAGGAAATTTATTTCCCCTTTCCTTGGCTTCTTGATGTCTTTATTGGTAGGGTCACCACTTGTAGTGCGCTTTCCACGTTTACCACCATTGACGGTGACATCAAGTTCACCCAGCTGGTGCATTTTGGTTCTATAATTATCCATCTTTAACTTTAGACTGTTCTTCCATCCATCCCAGCCAGATGATGACCCTGTTTCTTTAAGACATGGATGTGTCTGCACTAAGGCTTTGGCAGTGGCTTTAAAATCTTCATTTGTAGGGGTATGCTTTAAATGAGTACATGGTCTCTGCCAATTTCTCAAGCTCCTTTGTCACTTTGAGATAGGCTGCATCCCTGAGATACAGCAGGTTGCCTTGGCGAAGTCTATACTGAACATCTACTGGAAATTTGGGAATTTCAAATTCCTCTGGCCACTGAGAACTTCTATCTGAAGAGGAGACAGACCGGATCTCTGTGTCTGCTAGGCTGCTTGTATCACTACATAATTCAGGTTGTGCAGTGACTGGTACAAGCTCAATCACTGGGATCATTTTGATGGTTGGTTTCTTGGGGAGCTCAGAGAGATCTGTGAGGTTACACAATTCATTGTTAAATTCAGGATCCTTGGTACTGTAAGGAGAATGTATAGTCTGTCTTTGAGCCAGCCAATCAAATCTTCAAGTGTGTCTGGTCATGTCATTATTGTTATCTTTCTTATATTTCCCTCAGAGACAATAACCCTCATGGTTAATTTCTGTTGCTCATCCATCTGGAGAAAAATAAAAAACAGGTATTTAGCAAATAACATTGTCTCAGTGTCACCATAAGCTCTCCTTGTACCCTGTATGCTGATAACGGGAGAACATCATTTAACTCTGACATCTTGACCACAGACATAGAGGCGACATCATTACAGTGTAGTTGATAAGATCTGAAATGCTCAGAGTACCATGCTGTCATTTTGTAGCAGACTAACGGAATTTCTGCATTAGCTGCAACAATCTTTTCAATTTGAGCAAATTCAGGGAGACTGAACATGAGCTTGCAGAAAGTATCATGCCTGTATGATACTTGATTCCATCTACAGAGATGACACATCAAGCACTGACCCTGGCACTGTGATGTTTTGAGCAATTGCAGTCTGAACATTCTGCAGGAAAGTGGCAAGCAACACTGGGGCATTGATATCTCAACCGATGGTCTAAAAATGAGCTGCAGTCAAGATGGTAACTGATTGCCCTCTGGTGTCTTGTAGCAAGCATCATGGCAACGTTTTTAAAGTTCTGAGCATTGCGAATTACGCTTTTAAAGAACTTGTGCTTCCCTTCAAAGTGCATTGTCCACACCTCAGACAGGGGACCAAATTTTCGTATAAGCTCAGGGTAATGCTTCACATAGTGATGTTTGGGCCTTAAACGAAAATCTGGAAATGTTGACTGCAGCAAGCGTCTGTGCTCTACAATCTTACAGTTCAGGAAATGCGGTGTCTCTTCTGTATGCCTTGGTGCTACAGCTAGCTCAATAATGTCTTTGAGAAGCATGAGAATTGCCCAAGTGTTGTCACCCTCAGGAACATAATGCCCAATAAGAAATGGAAGAAGCCTTATGAGGCACCAGTTCTCATGGGCATTTCTGCCTATGCTCCCTTTGGTGGAAAATCCCTTTCCAATCATCTGAGGTCAGTCTGTTTTGTCAGTAAACGTGTAATTAAAGTACCTGATGGCCTGGTTCAGCAAATCTAGCGTGAAATAACTACTGCCTATCAGGTCTGTAAGACACAGGGACAACTAAATTGGAACAATACCTTCCAAGATATCATGCATGATGTCAGGAGGGTACTCACTGACCACATGAAAGTGCTCAAGATTCTCAGTTAAAGGACATGCTCCTTTCACACCGCAAGTCTGACTCAGTCCTGGGTTCTCTCTCAGCTACTCTTTGACTCGAAGTTGAAAGAAACCAGAACATGTGTCCTGTTCTTGAGCTTCACTACTGCTTGCCAAACAGAATCTGCAGAACTTGTCAACAGCAAAGCTCTCCTCGAATCCTGCGAGAGAATGAGCACCAAGATTATCAGCTGCAGCATACAAGACTGTACCTTTCACACTTGCATCTAGCTGCTCCAGGTAAACACCATTTTGCTCCAATAACTTTAAATCATAGATCAGTGGTTGCAGAACTTTTGCATAACCACACTCTTTTACTGTGGAGGTATTTCATAGTAGAGCAAGCGTTGAGGGTTGACCTATATTTTGCAGGTATGTTTGTAATAACCCAGTATACTGCACACATTTTGTGTTTCAGCTTTGACATTCCCAGAGGATTGACTACTTCAAAATCATTGATGTAAAGGCCAAGAGCAATTGTGAACTCCTTTGAAAGAAGTGAATTTTCAATAAACTGTTGCCCATCTGCATATGAGCTATACTGATGTGGGACACTGACCTTTTCTGACATAGCTTTGTCTAAAATATCAGTTTTGTTAAGCAACCTTTGTAGCATGGGAACAACGGGAACGTACACCAGAGATTTTTTTTGCCTCCACAACGTATTCTATGGGGTTTATCAGAGGAAACTCGCTGCGTACATAGGCTGCTCTCTTTTTAGAAATTCCTAAGGGTCCATCTTTGGTACAATATGTCATCATATTACTTTCTGACACAGCACTGACAACCTCTTTCACAACAGTTTCATCCATATCAGCGTAATATTTCTTTAGTACAGCCCTGACTCTGGTTTGGACAAGCAGCTGTGACAGCTTATTGATATGACAGAGTTGTTGTATCACATCTTGTACAGCACTTTCTGGTATGTGCAGAACAGTTTGCATCTTAAGAGATGCTAAGTTGTGCTCAAGCTGTTTTTCCTAAATCATGAACATCGTGATCACTGGTTACATCACTCACCTCTTCTAAGTCTTCCGTATCATCTGCATCTGACATTTGCTCTTGTGCAGCATCACGGTCATGACTTACAAAATCGTCACCAATAATTTCTGATTTAAACCTCGCTAATAATGTCTTTTCTAGCAGGTTACAATAAGGGTTTTTACTCACAGCCACTGGAGTGAGAAAACTGTAGGCAGCGGAAAAATACTAAATGTCCCGCGAACGAGTGAACATTAAAACTCTCCACTCCCAAACAGCCCATCCCCCAACAAGAAAAGTCGTTAGCTAGCTAACGTGTGGCTAACAGATAAAAATGTTAGCCGAACTAGTAAATGTTAAAACAAAAGTTTTCACCGCTCTCAATTTTAAAACAAACCTTCCAATTAGTCGCCAGCAATGACTCCAATCCATATTACAGTTACACAGAAAATTACCTTGTATGACTCCTTCGCAGGTATCAGCGTGGAGGTGCGGCACTTGTTCTGAAGAGTATTCACCTTCCCATCATGCATACACAACACAGCGTAGCTCTTCAAAATCTCTTTCCTCAGCGATGAACTGATGCAATGCTTTTGTAGCGTATTCTTCTTTGCAGAGGCTATTTTTCTTTGGTTTTATTGTCTTTTTCAGTTTTGTATTATGTATTTATCAGTTTGTGCTTCTGTATATGAGCATAAACAAAGTGAATAAAACTTTATACACACTTTTGAAACAAACAGCAAATGGTTCACTACTAATGGTATGGCACACTAAAAGTGGCAACTGCCACTTAGGGTTCCTTCACAACTCAGTGGAGAAAAATGGGTGTGGTCATGACTAAAACTTGCTAATTTAAGTCCATTTAACTTAGTTATTCACACATTCAACTTTGTCTGCAAATTGGACAAATATACTTAACATTTTTAAGTAATGACATAAAACTTAAACCATTTAAGTGCATTGTACTTAAATTATGTAAGTAGATTCTAAATCTTACAGTGTAGACAAAGACAATGATCTAAACTATTTAATATCTGCAAATCAGATTCAGTTCCCTCATCAGAACAAAGCTCTGGTAAGCTGTGATGGTGTACGCTTGGGTCTATTCAGATCCACTGACAGAGATCACAGACCTGACCGGAGACCCCTGGCAGTCAACAGAGTTGCCAGTCAGCCTAAGCTGCATGTCTTTGGACTGTGGGAGGAAGCCAGAGTACCAGAGCTGGGTTTTTCCCAGTTAGTTTAACCCATATGTGTGATATGAGCTGTACTGTCCTTTCTTAATTTCCTTCCTGCTGGATTGCAGCTGACTTGTCTTGTTCTCCACCAGGACCTGAACAAAAAGCAGACCCAGAAGGATCTGGAGTGTGCCATGCTGTTGCGGCACCACGAGTCTACCCAGGAACTGGAGTTCAGGCAGCTGAGCTTGGTGCAGCGTACACGGGCTGAACTAATCCGAACACAGCACCAGACTGAACTGACAAACCAAATGGAATACAACAAGCGCCGCGAACAAGAACTTCGACAGAAACATGCCATGGAGGTCCGACAACAGCCCAAAAGTCTCAAGGTATGAAGGAACTGTGAGCAAACCACAGCTTAGTTTTACTTAGGAACAAGAAAACAATTCTGATTCTGTAACACTGCTCCCCAGTCCTGTATGTCCTGGAAATGTTTTTAATCTGCAGCAAAATTACAATAAAATCAACAAATAAAATATCACCAACCCCTAAAATATAGTTTTAGCATACAGCATACAAAATATATTGCTGGTAAATTATTTTATTATTTTTATTTATTTTTGTCATTTCTGTTGTTTCAGTCCAAAGAGCTGCAAATCAAGCGTCAGTTCCAGGAGACCTGTAAGATCCAGACTCGTCAATACAAAGCTTTGAGGAACCACCTGCTGGAGAGCACTCCCAAATCTGACCATAAAGCCGTCCTCAAACGCCTCAAAGAGGAGCAAACACGTAAGCTGGCCATCCTGGCTGAGCAGTACGACCACTCCATCAACGACATGCTGTCCACACAGGCTGTGAGTAAGGCAAGGAAACCTCCGCGCACCTTCTACACCTGAAAAACTGCACTTACACTTTAGCGCATTATCCACTACATGACTCCAGCACCAACAGCGCCCTCATGTGTCCATTATAACAAAGCTGCAACTACCGTTTAGAAAATTAAAACAAAATGACAAATAGTGGTTTAGGAAACTAACTTTGTGTAGGACATATTAATCTAAATGGATGTGCAGAAGATTTGTGCAAGTAATAGTCACAAGTTTAAATGTCCTTTTTTTTCATGGTACTTCGATGTACAGCTTGACAAAATGTTTTGCCTCCAAGAAAATCATGTTTTAAAATGGAAAATTAAGTTGTTTGAAAAATGTAATTTGATAACTGACAGCAAATTACTGATAAATGAAAGGAAAAAGAATTCCAACCATTTTTGTTCCATTTATTTAAGTGCAAGTATAGAAATTAACATCTGCTCAAAATCACAAGATAGCTGCACATCACATCAAACAAAGACACTGATTTGTCATTAAAGAAACATGTAACCCTGCTGTTTTAATAATAACTGTCACAGCAGTGTTCTAAACAGATTGTGCTCCACTGATGCCGAGGTTCATCCCTGTTTGTTCCCACAGCTACGGCTGGATGAGACCCAGGAGGCTGAGTACCAGGTGCTGCGGATGCAGCTGCAGCAGGAGCTGGAGCTGCTGAACGCCTACCAGAGCAAGATCAAGATCCACACAGACACCCAGCATGATCGGGAGGTGAAGGACCTGGAGCAGAGGGTGTCGATTCGTCGAGCGCTGCTGGAGCAAAGGGTATGGGAGTCTACAAGCTGGTTTATACAGTGTAACACTGTCCTTAATCCAGACACAACAATGCATTTTACAAAGATCTTTGTTGTGCCTGGCACTGATTAAAGGAAAGGTAATTGGTGTTGTTTTACAAATGTTTGTCGGCGAGTCCCAGGCTAGGCTACATCCACGCTAAAGTCCTGTTTCCATCACAGAAGCATAAATGAGCTGAACTTTAAAGAATGTCTAAATGTTGTGTTAATAGGCCAACCGAAAATTAATCGGCAACTATTTTGATAATTATTAATCATTTTGAATAATTTATAGTAATAAACTGAAAAATTTATAATGAAAACAATTTTTAGTTTCAGCCGTAGTTTTATTTTAGGTTCTACCTTCAGAAACTGTCACTTTATCTGTGTACAGTGGCTTCACAATGTGCTCAGGTTTTGCACACTTTGGTGTAGATTTAATTTTGATTGAATAAAAAAATAAATTTTGCCCATCAGTCTACATTCAGTAACCCATAAAGATAAAGTGAAAAGGCTTTTAGAAGTTTTTGAAATTTTATTTAAAAAAAAACCCTTTCATTTAGAGAAGTATTTAGACCCTTTGGTGCAAACGGGTGCATCCTGTTTGGAGCAAAGGTTCTTTAATTTTACTGAGATGTTACTGAGTTTCCTTGTAGTTGTGTTTTATGTTCTATGTGCTGTTTCTGTCAGATCGAAGAGGAGATGCTCTCTCTGCAGAACGAACGTTCAGAGAGAATCCGGACTTTGCTTGAGCGTCAGGCTCATGAGATCGAGGCCTTCGACTCAGAGAGCATGCGCCTTGGCTTTAGCAACATGGCACTGACTGGCATCCCGGCTGAGGCCTTCAACCAGGGCTACCCAACACCCAGCCCCTCATCAAGCTCCAGTGGCTGGCCATCTCGGCCCGTCCCCCGCTTTTTTGAGCCACAGCGTACAGAACTCAGTGACAACTCCATCCTGGCGCACTCAAAACCACAGTGGATTAGGTTTTACCCGCACTGAGTCCATTACCTCCTCCCATGGCCTTGGCAGGGACAGTGAGCTGAACAAGAGCAGCAGGGGCCACTCCTCCTCTTCCTCCTCCTCTTCCTCCCACCACCAGCAGCACTACCTCCCACAGCACTACCAACATCACCAGAGCACTCCACAGCTGTACCGCGACAGCTATGACCGTGACACCCGGGAACGTGAACGGGCCAGGGAGTGGGTGGGAGGAGTTGGGGGCCACTACTCCCATCAGTCCCAGGGCCACCACCACCTCACCTCTCATGCCTCTTCTCAGTCTCTGGCTCTCCTGCCTCCCCCACCTCCACCTCCCCCCATTTCCTTGTCTTCCTCTTCTCCTCCCTCCTCTGCCTCATCCTCGTCATCATCACAGGGAGGCTATGGAGGCGGGGGTCTGAGTGTCAGGGGCCCCAGTCTATTGGCCCTGAGAAACAGCCCCCAGCCACTGAGGAGGACAGCCTCTGGGGGGCCGGGCAGCGGGGGTAGTGATGGAGGGCTTAGCCGCAGTACATCAGTCACTTCTCACATTTCTAACGGCTCTCACCTCTCCTACTCATAAAACCAAGTTCTATTCTCTGCTCCGATCTGTGAGGGCTACAAGGTGTTTGAGCCAAATACACAGGACAGTGGCAGAATTTCACCCATTTTAGAGTGAGAGATGGAGTTTTTAGCAGCTTTTAAAGGCTTCAGACAACTGTAGTAGGGTCATTCAGTTGTTTAACCCCCACCCCCGATTTTAAAAGTGTCGATTTTAAGATCTCCTTCCTTAAAGTGTTCTTAATGCACAAGGAAAGAAAGAGAGCATTTCTTTGAGCTATCCAGTTCTTAATAAGCAGTAGAGATTTTATTATACAGGAACATACAGGTATTAAAATAGTCAGGATTACCGTTGCACATTAACATTGATGAAACAAAAGAAAATCAGATACAAATAACAGGTGTTTGTGTGAAAATGAACCGTGTTGTAAAGAAGCTTTATTTTTTTATTGTCATTGTAACATTGTGACATGTACAACGAAGTTTTGTTTGGAGCCGGGGGCCCCAGGCTGCTGCGTACATACGTGCTGCCGTCACGGGCAACTTGGGGGGGTTCAGTGTCTTGCCCAAGGACACTTTGACATGTGGACTGCAAGCACCGAAATTCGAACCCTCAAAATGAACAAGTCGAAATGTAAGATTCACAAAAAAAACAATTGCGTCAATTTGTTCATTTTGTAGCACATTGAACCCATTTCACAGTGTTGACTTGGTAGTGAGGGGATTTAACTGCAGGAGACACGAGTTGCGGTTTGAGGTTAATGTTTTAGCTGAGACCTTCAGGTGTTCAGTGTCACAGAGCAGGTGTAAACTAAGATTTGGGGGAGGAGTTGTCAGTTCAGTTTGTATTGAACTGAACAGCGAGTGACAGTTGCGGAGCTTCCACTTGGCTAGAGGTCCTTTAAAAACCACTGTAATTATGTAAATAATGGTAAAGTGTAAATGTAGATTTTGACTTGTTTCATATGTTCAGTGGGGGATGGGAGGGGCAACACTGGTGAGTCGACCAAGAAGAGATTTCTTAAAAACACACACCTTTTATTTGTAGTTGTAAGATTCTGTATGACAATAGAAAAATACTGCCATCTCTCTGTTTGGCTGACCTGAGGCAACTTTACCACTGCCCTTTAATCTCCGTAAAGAAGCATTCCAACATTTTGTGGATATGTACTGCAGTCCAAACTCGAGTCACGAGGGAAGATTTAGATTCATTGCTTTGATCTCTGAGTGTTCAGTACAGAACCATCTCCATGGTTTAGCTTAGTGCAGAGATTGGAAGCAAGTGGGCGATACTAGCCTTCAACAACTTCCAAACTGTCACGTTTACACACTGTGTGTAACCAACGAGTGCAGAATGAGACATTATAGCTTTACTGCATTGAGTTAGGTGGTAAGAAAAAACAACTGGGTGCAGAGATCTTGATAAAGTTGTCAGCCTTGGGCACTTTTTTCTTCTCTCAATAAGACCCAGGATAGAGTGGACACACCCAGGATAAAATCCTTTGTCAAAGTATTTTATATTGTTGTATCAATGTATCACATTTTCTATTGGAAACGGGTTACAGCTGATGTTACAAGACAGGGTTTCTGTTTTTGGGTAGTCCAACAAATTAAATACCTGACACTGATACAAAAATCATAGTGTCTATTATTTGATTCTTAAGCTGTCTAAATACTCCCTGACAGCTACAGAAATAAACCTTGGTGTACATGTAGTGTTGGGTGGGAATCACTGACCTTGTACACAAAGAGATATTCAAAGTATAGGTACCACGGTGTAAAGATAGCATCCCATGATAGACAAATTTATATGAACACATTGTCATATCACCTACCTCTAACCTCAGGGGATTCTTGAAGGGATCAATTTCTATAAAGGTACAACATGGAATTGAGATTGATTTGAAGCTGTTACAAAGCTCTTTTATGGTTTATTTGTTTCCTCCCTGCTTCTAGTTGTCATGTGAAGCCGTGCTAAACACATCCTGGGCCCTTTTCTGTACTGGACACAAACATGAAGTCAGTCTTCTCACTTGACACTTGTTAAAATGGCAATCAGTAAATCCTCCAAGATGTCTGTGTGAGCCTTTAAAGGGATGTTGCCACAGAGCGTTTTTGTGTGAGCCGAGCACTAAATCTGTATGTGCGTGTGTGTGTGTCTGTGCAGTGCTGACACCTTACCTGCACCTGTCTTCTGACAGTTTGTATGCATTTGTAGATCAGATGTACATGTGCATTACAAATTAGTACAATTCAGTGCATGGAACTTATGTACAGACAGCGTTTATATGACTTAACATGCACACTACCTATTTATAGAAATGCATATAAATGTAAGATACCTGTGCACATGTGACAGGTATACTGAAGATTGTTCACTGTCCAAATACTTTGACTTGCATTGTACTTACAAGTGTACATAGAAGCTCTAACTCTGAGACTGTGTTAGAGTAATAATAATAATAATGATTTTGTCAAGCCAGTTAAACCGATTTCCGCTAGATCCAGACAAATAGATGCCATTATTATTATTACTACTACTACTACTACTGCAGTTGAAATATTTATGTTGTATGCTAATTTCTAAGGTTTTAAAGCATAATGCCAATTTTCACCACTAGGTGGGGAATAAGCGCAATGTTACTGTGATAGAGATATAAACAATTATTAATGTTTCTGAGAATGATAAAAAGACTACCTTTCCCAGCATTCCTGTCAAGGTCTCAGGGTAGGAGTCTATGGTTCTGGGCAGGGCTGCGTTTTACCTTTTATTATTGAGCCAGTATTAAAACATGGCGTGTCCACAGTCGTACTGACAGACGGACATATTTCCAGATTCTTTCTCTACGTTTGGTGCCATTTTGAAAAAAGTTTATTTTATATTTCACCCTCTTTACTTTGTGAAGGACCTTCCCAAAACACTGTAAACTGCAGAATATGGAGCCCAAAAGAGTGTTCAGTGTTAGGTAAATATAAAAGACATTATGATGTAGATAATTGTGTGAGCAGATTTTGTAAAAAGATATATAAACAAATGAGAAAGTAATTGAGGAAATAATTAACTAGACTCTTGAATGACATTTTATTTAATCCATGTCCACAAGGGGATATAATTGGATATAAATGTACACATTTTTATTTCAAAAGTCATCTTATTTTCTAATGGCATTTTCCCAGTAACAGTTGTATGTCTTGTAGGGCTGCATCTAACGATTATTTTCACTATTGATTTATCCTTTTGTAAATCTTATTTTCTCAGTGAGCTGATGGATCATGACCAAACTGATTATTTGATTATCAATTATTTGATTATTAATGTGGCTCACTGAACAATCCTCCGTGTCCAGAGATCGGGTCGTCGGGGCCGAGGGAAGGCCCGGCCACCAGGCCGGCTCCAGGATGGGGCCCCAGCTGCACCATGCCGGGAAATGTCGCGGTCCTTGATTTTGATCTATTCATAGAGGGCTTTTTGAACTGCTCTTAGTCTGACCTGGGCTGTCACTTAGGACCTGTTTGCCTTGGGAGACCCTACCAGGGACATATAGCTCCTAGGATCACTCGGGTACTCAAACCCCTCCACCACAATAAGGTGGCGGTTCAAGGAGGGGCTAATTCATGGCAAGTTGTATTTATTTACTAGTGTTTTGCCATGATATAAATGTTAACCTGAAACTGTTTTCATAATTGTTAAACTGTTTTCAATGAAAATGAGTGAAAGTGTGCCAACCTTTTTGATTCCAGCTTTGTAAATGACAGTACATACTGCTTCTTTGGGTCACACATTACTCTAAACTGAGGTGTGTGTTTTTTTTTTGTTTTTGTTTTTTCATTTTGGTCAAATGAAACAAGATATTTGAAATGATTAAACAATTAATCGGTATTGAAAATAATGGTGAGTTCCAGTCCTGTCATACACCACTGTTGTGTAAAATGCCATTAAAAAAATAAAATAGATTTCTGAAAAAGGACATTTTGAAATAAAAATTAAGCCATATATAACTATGTAAATAAGTGACAAAATATTTCATCATGGGTTTTAATAATTTCTTAAATTATTTTTCTTTTTATATAATTCCACACAACTTCTAAATATGATTCTTTATCTTCATAGTTTTTACATTTTGAACACTTTGGTCTTCCATAGAAGAACTCCACACTCCTCTTTTCTAAATCTACACCTCATCATTTGATTTTGCACAGTCCGAATGGGTAGGGAAAAAAAAAAAAAAATCATCCAGTCACTTTCTGCAGCTGTCGTGCTGTTCCACCACGGGTGGAAAACCATTCAGGATTTCATTTGGTTTTCAGGAGCCTGCATCACTGCTGCAGAGAGTCGACCTCCGTGTGATCTGATGCTGTCTTTATTTGTCTACCTCATTTGCACTGATAGTAAAAGAATGTTTGGGTGGATTAAAACTACCATATTGGCTTTTGCTAAACCTTTCCTTTGTTTCTTTTTCATTTTGTGCAAATGTTGACATAAAGAGGTGAATAAGAGCAGTAGGGGACAGACAGGTCCTCAACACCATCGTCGGTGAGCAAATTCAGAACGGAAGCTGTAAGATTTTTTTTTTTTTTTTCTTCCCTATTGCCTTCTGCTGACATCATTAGAAGACATGCTGGACCTTAATTCTATGTGGAGACACTAAAGACTTTCAGTGTGTGGAAACAGGTCAAACATACTGATCTTTGTTGATGGAAACATTTAGTAGGAATCTGCTGGCGGTGTGTGGATTAACTGTGCTTCTCCCCTTTCCTCACATTCTTCAGAAAATGTTTGAACTGTAAGATTTCAATTTGCCACTTTTTTATGTGTTGTTTTGTAATGGGTTTCAGTGCTGACCATTCCTGGACTGTTGTTTTTGCCAACTAAAGCTGCAGTGAGGGAATTTTTTTTTTTTTTTTGGGGGGGGGTTATTGTATTCATTATCATTTGATGTGTTGCATCTCGTCCCAGAAGCAGACATTCGCAGAGTAACAGTGTTACTGATAGTGTGGATACTGACAAGGAGTTCTGTCTTGTCAAGTAAAAATATAGGGAATATTTTGGGAAATTTTCATGTCTCTTTGTCTGCTCCACACTCAAGCAAGAAGATGGGCATTGGTGTAAAGCTACAAATGGGATATCTGTTTATCATTTATTAATCTACCAGTGATTTCCTTAATTTTAAGTTATTAAAACTTTTAATTGGTTTCAGGTTCTTAAATGTGAGGATTTGCTCCATTTTTCATTTTTATATAAAATAGTCAACTATTGTTTTGAACACAACATTTGAAGATGTCACTAGGACTCGGGGAACTTGTGATGGCCATGTTTACACAATTTGTTGACATCATACAGACTGATCAATCAGTGTAATCAGTAGAGGAGTCAGTAATGAAACCATTTGCAGTCCTGTTTTTCCCCCCACTTAATGAACCGTTTGATGTAAGAACAATAGCAAGAAATATGGAAAAATGTATCAAAATTACTTACTAAACCTATAGATGGCATTATCAAGAGTTTGTTTGATTTATAAATTGTTAGAAAATTGTCAGATATGACCGACCATCGCTTCAGAATCCAAAGAGATTCATTTTGAAATCGGAGGGGGAACGAGCAGCAAATTCCTACAGTTAAGAGGCTAGAAAAGTATCTTTTTGTTCTGTTCTTCATAGCTGGCAACAGATACTGTTCTCAAAGAGTGGCTCTGTAGTGCGTTCGAGGAGAGTTTCAGATTTAAAAGCTAAAGCTTGTTTACTGAGGTGAGTGGTCAGAAAAAGATCAAGAAGAGAAACAAAGAGTAAATATTTGCAATGTGAACAAGATGCTGCTTGTTTCAGCTCCAGTCCAGTTCATTCAAGAGATAAATTTCCCAAAATGTCAAACACTTCCATTTGGGTCCATAAGTTTCCTGGTGCAGTTTTAATTGTTTTGTGGGACTAACTCACTGGGTTCAGTGTCACTACCTTGGCATCTAAAGGCAGGTAATACCTCCCCCTCCTCCCCATTAAAAAAAAAAAAAAGCCACCCCCCTAACTGTTGCGTTTGTGGCCAGCAGGTTAATAAACTGACAGGAGCAGCTGTGAGGATGAGGATGATGGAGGACATTGTAATGAGAGTTGGTGTTTGTGTGGAGAGAAGAGTGGATGGTGTGTGTCTCGGATAAGAGGAGACAATGGTGGCTAGGTTTAAATCGGTTTTACAGCAGGAGGCTGAGTTTTACATGTTCAGGGTCAAATCAAAATGTCTGGAGGAGTGTTGGAAAAAATGAGTTGTACAGAAATGTAACAAAATAATTTTGGAGAAATAAATGAACAAAAACAGAAGTGTTGGGGTTTTTGTGTCGTTTTTGACAGCTTAGAAACAAAGTGGTGGTTCAACATGATGGAGACCTTCACCATAAGATCTACCTTTGTGTCTGAAATCCACAGCCAGCAGCTTACAAGATAAACCAACAGGCATTTATTTTAAATTTCAGTGGCGAACTCGTATATCATTTGCAAATGTAGTGTGAAAATGAAAATAAGGCTGTGCCTTTTTCAGTTGACTTAAAATCAGATGATAAAAGAAATCAGAATGCTATGTGAAGGGTATTTTACTGTAGTTTCCTTTAAATTCTTTTATTATCTGGCCAAAGCTCATACAATCATTTGTATGTTTATGCAACATTTCCTTCTTTGCCACATTTCTATTATGGCTTATGATGGGCAAGACCATAAATGGGCTTGACCTCTCTGTATAGCAAGCATGGATGCTACCGAGTAGGACATCATTTAGATCCATGCACTGGAGGTTGTTAGGTAGGAGTTTATGATCAACTGTACAGTATCACATCAAAAAATCAGATCTTCACTGTTCTTGGAGCATGAGGTGTAATTTTCTCCATGACCACTGGGGGCGCCTGTTTCCACCAAGAAAAGAAAAAGTAATGGGAGTTATCTACTTGGCTCTACTCTACAGTACTCAAAAGTGTCAGGCTATAGGATATTTAACAACAGATGTATCCCAGGCTGGATTACCAACTGGGCCCCAAAGCCCCACTTATCATTTCTGTCTCATTAGGTTTTACAACAGGGATTATGTAAAGTCTGTGTAAGACCTGTATGTCTATTTAATTATTGTCTTTCTTGAGAAAGATCATGCTCTCTTGTCATACCTTACTGTTTTATTTTAGTTTATATTTTTTAAAGATTATTTCAGACTACTTCTCATGTATTTTGTTATCAGAAGGAGCTGATTCAATAAAAACATGATCCTAAAAGTCAATTTTCTATCAGTTTTTGTAGAAAATGAACTGAAATCTGGTTCTTTGTTCCCCCACGGTATATAATAAAATATAATACAAAAATCATTTACAGAAAAAGAAAGGGAACAGTAATCAAGGTATTAAGAAATCGTCAATCAAGATATGCACACACTGCAGGATTATCAAAAATATGATAAAAAAAATACATATTTTAAAATAGCCTATCTATATGCAAAATTTTCAGGCCATATTTTAATGAGCAAAATGCATTGTATGTTTTATTTTCTTGACTTAATTAATCTGAGGTATAAAAAAATCAGTCACCGTAATGAATCGCTTTTATTTTGAAAACAAGTGCGCCGGAAGTCATGGTCTTATTTTTGCCACTTGACAAAAAATGTGCTGTGCGGATTGAGGAAATCATCGGTCAACCAAATTCAACTGTAAAAAAAATACATATTTTAAAATCCCCTATCTATATGCAAGATTTTCAGGCCATATTTTAATGAGCAAAATGCATTGTATGTTTTATTTTCTTGACTTAATTAATCTGAGGTATAAAAAAATCAGTCACCGTAATGAATCGCTTTTATTTTGAAAACAAGTGCGCCGGAAGTCATGGTCTTATTTTTGCCACCTTACAAAAAAATGTGCTGTGAGGATTGAGGAAATCATCGGTCAACCAAATTCAACTGTCGTTTGCGCAAACATTTCCTTCTCAGGTGCGAGGTAAAACGGGTCGTACACAAAACGGTCCAGAAATGGCGCAGGAAAATATTTTCCTTTTCGTTCCCAATCTCATCGGTGAGTTTTTACCGTTTCTGCCAACAATCAGCTAGCTTAGCGTTAGCAACACAGAGCGGATGCTGTTGAGACACAGTCAGACCAAACTCCATAAAAAAAAAGCCAAATATAGTGAATAAAGAAAACATAATGTAATATATTTAGCTATCTATCAAACCATGATAGACCAGAAAATTAAAGGAATAACAACAACAATAAGTAACATGAATTCTGTTTACGTTTTCTCTACTTGTTCAAGCAGTTCTTGTGAAGTATTGGCCTGGTTGAACTGCTCACAGGTCGTTCACCAAGAGCTGTGATTAGGTGTCACAAATATACTTGTATACTAATCACAAAGGTTGAGAAACTGGTGTAACTAGTTAATAAAGTTCTCCTAACTAGCACTGTCTTCTGTCCCTGTAGGTTATGCCCGTGTGGTGTTGGCCCTGCTGTCTTTCTACCTGCTGCCCTGCTGTCCGTGGCCGGCGGTCTTCTGCTACCTGCTCAGCGCTCTGCTCGACGCGTTTGACGGCCACGCTGCACGGGCGCTTAATCAGTGTATGTATCTGTAAGGGTGTTATTCCACTGGCAGTGGGGGGAATATGTCCGTCTCATGTTGCTTCCCACCATTCATTCATTCCTGTTGGTGGATTTATAATAATAATAAGGATAATCATCTTTATTTGCACCTCTGTTATGATTTTGTCTTGTGTTATGTCAATTCTCCACATTTTTCTTCCAGTTGTGCTAATTGTTGTCTCAAGATATTTGTCAGTTTTTCCATTAATAGGTTTTCTTCAGCGACTACTAGACATAGTTTTTGTCCATGCCTTGACTTTTGCCCAGTCCTGTAAATAGTTTTTATGTTATTAATAGTATTTTTGACTAAATAGCTTTCACTCACATACATAGCGACACCTTACACTTTCTTCAGAGATAAAGTACCAAACATAGGGACCTTAAACCTCATATTTGTTGTAGCACTTTAGATATTGTTTTATTTTCTGACAACTGTGTTTTAGGCTCTTCAGATATTTAGCTTTTTCTCCATCTGCAGCTGAGACAGAGGAGCTGTGCTGGCTTCTTCAAGATGCTTGGAACAACTTGCCTTCTAAGTACCCTGAACAACTGAGTGGAAGTGCACAAAGGAGAACTGGTGCTTTTTTAAAAACAGGGTGGTCACAGCATGCGTTGATTTGGTTTAGGTTAGGAGAACTGGTGCTTTTTTAAAAACAGAGGGTGGTCACAGGGTGGTTTAGGTTTTTTTATGGAAGTGTTCCAGCATTTGCATTTTATCATTAAGCCTTGAAGCCTGCTGAGACAGACTGTGTTAGTTGGGAACATCCTGATCAGTCCTTCATGCTGGACAGGATCCAGTCATTGACAGATAACATGATCCTGACTTCCTGTGTCCTCTGCTGTTTTCTATCAGCCACCAAGTTTGGAGCCATGCTGGATATGCTTACAGACCGCTGTGCCACCATGTGTCTGCTGGTGAACCTGTCCCTGCTCTACCCCTCCTATGTCTTCCTGTTCCAGCTTAGCATGTGTCTGGACATTGCCAGCCACTGGCTGCACCTGCACAGGTATGCTTACCTTTCCTTAACCGGAATGACAAAAGGAGCATCTTTTATTTAAAAACTCAGGCTAAATGTTTCTTGAGTTCTCTGTGCGAGTGTCATGCGGACGAGTAGGCAGAAGTGCTGTTCTGCTCTGTGGCCTGGATGAGAAACGACTGGTGGATAATATTTATCTGAATAATCGAGATTAAACCTCACAAGCCTGATTGGTGGTTTTAGAAACAGGTTTCCTCATTTTCTTCTTGCACAGTGTTCACCTGTAGTCCAGACCCAGTTTTGGTCCTAACAAGGTTCAGTTTGTTTTCAAACCATGAAGTCAAAACTAGCAGAAGGTGGATTTATCCTGAACAGATGCTGCTGGAAGTCGAATCTCACATCTTTGCCTGTCTCTGTACTAAGCGTTCTCTGCGATTGTTCTGTCTACCTATTGCCTGTTCAGCATTATGATGTAGTATCTCTGTAGCCCCAACATATATACTCTTGAAGAGTTGCACAGTAGCTTCAGTGCATTCTACATTGTTTACACCATAAACCCTTAATGCATTGTCCTAAATGCCTCTGAGAGTACAAACTCACTTCGTTTCTCTTTCTGTCATTGTCTTCCTCAGCTCTACGATAAGGGGATCAGCCAGTCACAAAACCATCGACCTCTCTGGCAACCCTGTCCTCCGAATCTACTACACATCTAAGGTCAGGAGTTCTCTCCATCTCGCTCTCTCTCTCACACGCACTCACATTCAAACTACTCTTGAAAAGAAAGCAGATGCCACCCCTGGACCTGTCCTGTGTTGATCTAAAACCCACGAGAAAAGAGAAATGGGCTGACTGGTTTTTGTTTCCCACAGCCGGTGCTGTTCGTGATGTGTGCTGGGAATGAGCTCTTCTTCTGCCTGCTCTACATTCTTCACCACATCGAGGAACCTTCAGGTAAGATCTTCATTTTCCTCCCCCTGATCTGCTCCACTTAACACATCAGAGACCTATGTAACATCCACAGACTGCAGAAGATGTTGGAGATGCAGTCTATACTGCACAACTGTTAAGATACCAGTGCTGACAAGATGGTCCAAAAGAGGCTTATCCACCCTGAAAAGAAATTAAATTAAATTATTGTACCTTATCCTTCCAACCCTGATTGAACATTTATTATCCATCCATTATCTATACCCCTTATCCTGAAGAGGGTCACGGGGGACTGGAGCTAGTCCCAGCTGACATTGGGGGAGAGGTGGGGTCCACCCTGGACAGGTCACCAGTCTATTACAGGGCTGGCACTTAGAGACAAACAACCACACACACTCACTCCTAGGGGCAATTTAGAGTCACCAGTCAACCTAAGCTGCATGTCTTTAGACTGTGGGAGGAAGCCGGAGTACCTGGAGAGAACCCACCCAGACACAGGGAGAACATGCAAACTCCGACTCACAGACAGACAACAGATTGGACCGGGCTCGAACCCAGAGATAACCACTGCATCGCCATTCTGCCCTTTATTATCAGTATACAAGCATTTATGTCACACTGTCTTTCTGAATGTATTTGTTACCTGACTCCTCCTGTGGAGGCTGATGTATAAATAGATAATGAATGAAAATATAATACTTTACATTACCAAGCACTTAGAATGTCCTTACAGCTGCCACTCCATTATAAACTATATCTGAACTGCTTTACTGCTTCAAAATGCTACATCTTGAGTGTACAGTGTGGTTGAGTGCTGTTGTGTGTCTGTGCTCTCCGCTGCAGCCTGGCTCTACTGGCTGCAGGGCGTCTGCGGGATCATCTGCCTGCTGAAGTCCGGCATCAGCCTCCTGCACCTCATCACCGCCTCCCAGAACATGGCTGCCCTGGATGCCGCCGAGCGAGAGAAAAACATGAAGAAGCAGTGAGAGGAGTCGGTGAGAGCTGAGATTCGTACAACAAACCCACCATTATTTTATTTAATCTTATTGTGACTTGAGACTTTGTGGACTGTCAACTCGAACTGAAGTGACTTACATTAGACATGAAACACACTTTAGTTTTATAAGTTTTATGACCAAATATGACAACATAACAATTACAAATCTAAGCAGATGTGAGTCTCTACTCGAGAGATTAACAAGACAGAGGTTGTTGTTTTTTTTTTCTGTGCTCTGATTTTACAAGTACATGGTGACAATACAGTGTCATATGGTGGACATCTGTCAACCAACAGAGAGTTTGCTTTACCACAAACTCTCTATATCACAGTATAAACTGATCGTACATACATTGTGATAGAAGAATTTAGCCATATTGTTTACTGTGCTGCTTGCCTGATGTATGAATATACAGTATAGTGTCATGAACATTTCTGGCTCCAGTTTGTGGCTCTCCAGCATTATTAATGGATTTGAGTCACAGCTTTGTCCATTTGTGCAATGTGAACTGAGTTGAGGCGTTTATTTATCGGTTGTATTTATTATTTATACTTTAGAGCTGTATCAATTAGTTAGAAAAATGAGTTGGCACTTATTTGATTATTGGTTAATTGCTTCAGTCATTTTTTTTAGAGCAATGTGAAACTTTTGTTGTTTGTATCTTTTCAAATGTGACAGTTTATTGCCTTTCTTTGCGTGACAAAGAAATTTGGTTTGTTTTGATTGGCTTTATATCATAGCTGATTTAATATATTTAGAATTTTGAATGTTAGCCAAATATTTGGGGCTTCAGGAAACTTTACTGGGCCTTTTTCACTTATTTTTTTATTTTTTAGACCCAACAATTATTTGACTGGTCAGAAGAGTAACTAATAATTAAAATAATCATCATAGAAGTAAGTGTTGTTTAATGACTGGGATTAATCCAACTTTGAAAAGAAACTGAGCTCTGTGACTTGAATGTAACCATAAAATACAGGAGGCACAAATTGGAGCTAGAAGTTTTATGATGTTTACACAGCTACATAATTTAATAATTCATTTTTCCTGGTGTCTTAAAGTTCTTTAGCAGATGTATAGGTCTTTGTAGCATTTTCATCCATTAAAGTTTTTTTATGCTGAGGTCGTTTAACACACATGAAAGATCTGCAGGTAAATCTTCACACTGTGTTTGTAGAACTGCACTGTGGAGTTCACCAAAATGGCAGATGGTCTTGTATAGCACCTTTCTGCACATTGAAACACACTCAAAATACTTTACACTGTTTCTCATTCACAAACCGGTGATATCTCTGGTGTGTGAATCTGTGTGTGCAACTTGGGGTTCAGTGTCTTGCTCAGGGGCACTTCGACATGTGGTTTGGAGAAGTTGGGAATCGAATCGCCAGCCCTTCGGTTAGGAGACGACCAGCTATACCTCCTAAGCAACAGCCCCAGTGAAGGTTGCAGTTGTGTTTTGCAGAAAGCAAACACCTTGCTTCTTCCACATTTTGTTAGTGTGCCCAAACATCCTCATCCTTACTTGTCAGGACATTTTGTTTGACAGCTATTGCTCACATCAGTTATTCTGTTTGAAGCTGAAGGCCATGGGTATGTGTTACTCATCTGCTGATTGAACTTGAAATGAATAGAAAAAACAATGAGATTAATGCAAATAGATTTTATTAGAAATGTATCAGTGGCAGTAGAATAAACATTGTTGTACAACTGACCAGTGAACAGAATCTGAAAAATATTACTGTCACTGTTACTATCAGTCTAGTTCTGTCTATAAGGCCATTTTGGACATCAGACCAACCAGTATGCTAAAAATCAGAGTGCACTATGTGTTTAGGTGCCTAAACAGAAATTCTCAGCAGCCACATTTTCTGATGCTGACATTTTAAAACTCTGAGCTTTCTGTCTAACCTGTGATTCCACATTTTCACCCTTTATAGCATTATTGATGGTGAATACATCTTTAATTTAAATCTGACCTTTTATACACTGATTCAAAGGCTGTTGTTGCTTCATAATCTGCATCAAACCGGTTTAGAGAACTTTTTGGCAGTTTTACTTTGTCTTGTTAGCCAGAACTACAGTAAACATAAAACCGGTGACTCATGTAAAAGCCACCTTTATCCCCTCATTTGTTTTGTTATTTTTAATATTTTGATTCATTAAGATGAAATTGTACTGAAATCTGCAACACAGACCAAACAGATGTTTTCACAGAGCTTATGCAGATGACCTCCCTTTGCTCTCATTAAAGAAAACATTGCAAACTTCTGAAACAAAAGCTCTTTGTTTCATGCTCAAATATTCCTTTTGTGACCCGCGAGCCACACGTTTTGCCATTCTTGTTGTTTATTTCTTGAGATTCCTGCTTATGTTTTGGTGTTGATTAAAGGTGATTGTTGCAGTTGAGGGATGCTGATCTGTTAGTGTTTATTTAAAATAGTTTTTTTGTGGTAGAAGAAGTGTTTTACTATACTTGGAAACAAATAGAAAGTTATGCAGTTCATAAGTTATACTTCAAGTATTTGTTTGTAATGTCACTGAACAGACATTTGTGCTGATAGACTGCTGTAAAGGTGTGTTGCACTGCAAAATATGTGCATTGAAATATAAATATTCACCTCTTGTTTTGATGAAACTCATTTCATTGAATGTATTATAGGAAACAAATGTATATCAACAGCAAAGCCATGTCTAATGCTATATTTAAAAATGTAATTGTCAGAATATTTGGCTATTTTTCAGAGTGCAGGTGGTTTAAATTTACTGTTAAAACAGCTGCAAAATAAAGACAATGAAGACAAGCTTTAGTTTCTCTGGTCACAGCTTGTGTTTGTGGGGTTTCTGCACAAACTCAGGGCCTTTAGAATAAAAGTCAAGTACGATGTTTTATATCTCAGAGACCATTTTATAAGTCTCAGAAATGTTTTCTTTTCCTTGCTTCCTCTACTATCCTGAATATTGAAACTTCCTGAAAGGTTACGGGTTACTTTCAGTTTCAAAAATGACTTTACTGATGAAACTGGACAATCTCTTGTAATTAGCATTAATTGTAAATCTCTGGTGAAACTGGCACGCCTCTGGTCAGTTTGTGGGCATGAATTATACATGACCATCGTCATGCTTTAATGATAATTACCTTTTATTGGCCAAGTATTTGATTTGATTTATTCTTTCAAGCATGTAAAGACAGTTGATATGACAACACACATGATTTTACACATAATCCAATATCAATTTGCTTATACCTAGTACATGCTTGAATGGAGTAGGAAGAAGTCAGACTTATCCAGTCCTACCCCATGACATCATCTTACCATCATTGGTTTGCAAGCAGTAAATGATTCTAAATAATTCTCTTCTACACCACACAAGTAATATACTAAAAAAATTATAACAGAGTGTTAACATTCTTACATAATTACATTCTTAAATAATTATCTTCTACACCACACAAGTAATATACTAAAGAATT